ATTGTTTACATCTTAACGGAAGTTACACCTATAATTCGCGCAAAGCGTCATGGGGCGCAGGAATACTGTGGATAGGTTTCAAAAACTTGCACTTTAAAGCACGTTTTCAAAAGTTTGTGTTTTAAGGCCTCTAAAAAATCCCAGAAAATATCAAAATCGCACACGGTAAAGCTTGATGCGCAAGTAGCAGAATTTCAAAATTGATGGCAAATTGGGCTTTCTTGACTCTTGTAAGCACTGTAGCCATTGCATTTCGAAGCAGCTAAAGATAATGCCTGTGTTCTGTAGTGTGTTCCAGCCTTTCCCCAACTAACCCGTCGCCCTCTCTCTATCCATGGCAACAGAAACAGAAACAGAACACAAAAATTGAGTCAGTGACGAAACCTGAGCAATCTGGACAACACAAGTAGGCTACGTGTGCAGGCGGGCATGGACAGCCCACGGACATCCAAAGATTAATACACACGTGTGTTGCTCATTGTCAGGTAAGTTGATATATTAACTAATAGGACATTATTGTAAAGTGTTACCAGATTTACTTTACTCAAAATATACTTTTTTTCCTCTGAGGTAAATTACGGCCTGGATGGTTTTTCGGGAGATTCAACTTCATAAAGATAAGGAAAGACTGCTTTTGACAGATACTGAATCCTCTCCCACATCTTTCCAGGTGTCTGAGGACAAGCCTTTCAAGAATAACCCATCATCAGAAGCTTATGGAGAATCTTTCGTCACAGCCATTATTTCCCAGTCCTTAAGCTGCTCCATGTCTTGTGACTGTTACTACAGCGAATCAAGATTTCAATCATTGCTTTGATTCCCTGGTTGCTGAAACGTATTCAAAGGCAGCTCCTAGCCTACATGCTCAGCATTATGTTTCTTGAGAAACCACAGCCAGCTTTATGATTCATCAAAGCCTCGTCTAAATATCTGTTGAGTTTCTTTCCTAAATCTCTGTGTTTGAATTCAATAACAGTCTAGAACTAACGTGATTTATGGCCTGTTATGCTTATTACAGACAAGTCCTTACGTGAAAGCTTCAAACGCATGATCTGGGTCATTGACAAGGAGTGGCCACGATGTTATTTTTAATTCATAATATCATTACATTTTAAGGGAGTCACACCACATGACATTTTACAACCTGAACTAACTATTCACTGTCATAAAAAGATAAATTGTTTTAAGAAACGTTTCAACTTTGACACAAAGTCATAATGTTCTGCAAGGGTCTTCTCTATGACATCATTTCCTGTTTTATGTATTTTTCTGTGAGTTTCTGCATGTTTGGTTGCACCACATTACTGCGAATTGGCAACATTATTCATCTATCAATAATAAGTGGTTTTGTTAAAGGCACACTGTGGAATTTTTGGCCACTAGGGTGCGCTCGACCTGTAATTTTCACGTCTAGTGCCCCTAGAGGCCACAAGCGCCGCAGCATTGTCGCAAAAGTCAACAAACAGTCAACCGGTCAACCTCCCGTGTCTTTGTGTGTGTGCAGACGGCATTTGATTTGTATGTTGGAGAGAGTTAATCGATTCACTACTGACCAAAATAATAATATAAATATAAGATTAATAATATAAATCCTATAAAGAAAACAAATTGAATAAAAGTAGCATACGCAGAAAACAATGTCTGATCAGGTAAGTCGCATTGACAAGGGTTGCCCAATCCTGCTCCTGCCGATCGTCTGTCCTGCACAGTTCATCTCCAACCCTAATCAAACACACCTGAAGCAAACAATTAACGTCTTCAGGATCTCTTTGCAATAGGTTGGAGATGAAATCGAGTAGTCGGGAAATCGTGTAACAAAACTGATATAACTCACTACATATTTCCGTTATTTGTAGTCTTCAGTTTGTTTTTCCTTTTACACAAATACAAACATATATGAGCTGAAAGGAAAAAAAAACATTTACCTTTGTATACGGCAGTATGTTGTGACTTATATCAGTTTTGTTACACGAATTCGCAGTAAATATTACATTATATATACACTTTTATGCCGATGTTTATTTTAAACTCCCCCTTTTTCTTTTTTTGGTCTCCTCTGACAAAATCTTTGCTTTCTTCCGAGTAGCTGTTGGTTCAGTCATGACGACAACATACAGACGCCGGCAATCAAACGCGAGTTGAGCTCTCACGTTAGAGGAAGTTGGGGTGGTGGGGGAAGTGACGTATGCCGTAAAGCGGTCGAATTTTGTAGTTCTTTTTGTGCTCGGGTTCCTACCCGAAACCCGAAGTTACATAGTGCTAGGAAAAGCGATACAGACACCTTCAGGCTTCGGCATACGTGTCATTCAACCTATTGTAAGTCGATGTACCATCTCAATGGGTTTTGGTAATATATTATAAAGGTTGAAAAGTTCCACAGTGTGCCTTTAACGAAAATAATTATTATGCCAAACAATTTTTCTTTTTAACAATTTCCTTTGTTTAATGAGGCTTTTTCTTCATTATGATATCAGGATATTATTTACTTTATGCCCTCCAAAGAAATTGCTAGTAAATTTCAGATATAACTGGAGGTCGACCGGTCGAGGCTAAGAGCGAGGCTGAGTCGCACCTCAAGCGGGTAAAACAATGAGACAAAAACACAGGTAAGCCCAAACCAAATGTTTAATGTCACTATTGTTTCCATCTATTTGCATTAGTTAATATCCGGCTGGTGGCTTTTATGCATTCGCTATGCAGCGAAGTTGCATATTTAAAGCTAGAGACGTGAGAAAGCAAACTGTATCGTCATGCAGCCGACAGAAACATGTAAACAAAGTTTTTTTTTTTGGAAATAAAAATACTGTAATACATATTTGTTTATTTTGATCAGGCTAGATAATCATCAAGTTTTCTAAAATAGAAGCAAGAGTATACATCCAATATACATGTTTCTAATTTCAACGCTATGGTGTTTGTGTAGATATGTAAATCTTTACAATAAGAGTCCATTTGTAACATTAGCTAAGGTTAATAAAAGTGTTGTTCATTTGTTGATTTCAGCATTTACTAATACATTTTTACATTTCAAAGTCACATCTCTTAAAATGTGTATGAACTAACATGAATGATAAAGGTATAATATTTTATATTTAAATATACAGTACATTTTCATGGTTTAGTACTATTTAAAAAAAATTGTAATAAAGTTTAGCACTATTTTATGTGTTATGTTTGTTTTCATTCTGTATCCACTTTAAAAACTACCGGTTGATTAATCGTTATCGGCCGGCGTTGGCCAACCTAGTTATCGGTAACATCCACTATTAGTCGCAAAAAATAATTGCAAAGAAATGGCAACTACATTGAATTAAATGTGACATTTTTAAACAGAAAGACTGTAATAGTATTTCCCAGTAAAATATACTCCAGTAATCTTTGTTTAACATTTTTACAGTCTATGTATGAATTGCATTTTGCTCTTTTCTTGCTAAATAAATACTGTTCATCTGTAAATCAGATAACTTAGGCGAATCAGTGTGTTTGATGGGTATGTCAGTCTTGTTTATTATTAGTGACATTTGCTTATTGTGTATGGGATTATTGTTTACATTTTGTGATTTAAGATGTGTACTGTGCCATTACTTATATAGGTGAAACGACATGTCACCTGGTAGAAGAGCTTAAAACTATGATGCCCCGATTTGAAAATTTAGGATAACCGATAAATCTTTATATTTGAAATCCGATGACCCATATATATATATCAAAAATTTTATATAATTTTTGAGAGCCTGCCTGATAATAAAAACAAAAGTTTCACCATTGAAATCAATGTCCCAAGCACACAATTATAATGGTGTCTCATTAAAATTGTATGTAGCCTTGTAGGGAACCAAAAGCATAATGGAGAACAGTGTGCATCTGTGTATAATCCATAATAGGAAATGGCAAATAATCCATTATTTATCAGCTTTAATATATCGGCCAAATTTTCTTATTGGGCCGATAATAATAAAAAAATGAACATATATAGGCCGATACCGATATGGTGGCCGATATATCCCGTTTCTGAGAGAACACCCTAGGAACCACCACTCATATTTTCTTCGGGAAATGTAAAAAAATCAAGTTAAACCATGATCAGATCAACCAGAGAGTAACTCAGATGTCCAGATTCAGCTCCGACACGAGGTTACATTAGTAGATGTCCGTGAGCATGTTATAGTGATGTTATCTAGACTGCATTATTGACATGAACTGTTTGCTGAGCTGAGGAGTGGCAGCGTCTACATGCACTAAACCTCTTCCTCCTGATGTATAAATGTGCCGGCGGGGATGTTAGACACAAGAGGGTACAAGAGAAACTGAAAATCTAGGTTTATATTGTAGTTTAAGTCCTAATTTTACAAACTGTATTATTGGTACAAACTGAATTATTGGTGTAACCTGTAGTCAGGTCATATATATTTCAAAATGTCCTTATAAAACTAACTAATATAGATATTACCACAATAGGAAGTATTAAAATACACGCCAAAACATTACAAGCAGCAGAAAATGATGTGTTTGCATGATGATATAATAGCCATTGCGTGTATAGGGTGTTGTCAGAGACAGTAAACATTACATCTAACGTTACTGTACTGAGTGTTTAGACTATGAAAGTGTAGTTGTTAGAGTATGCAATAATAGGCATTAGATCTACTGTAATACTGTACCAGGTGTTTATGTACTATATATGGGGTGTTGTCCTGATGCATGAGACAGTCAGTCCATAGGTCACTGTCTGAGTTTATGACACTGTCCAAATAACCCAACCCAACCACACACACACACACACACACACACACACACTCGACTCGATATTACTTATAATAACACACAAAGAGATAAAAACGCGATCAAAACAAATCCATAGCCGCTCTGCTTACATAACACACTCATTTAAATGTAATCCTACTGTATGGTTACCTCAGATTATAAACACTACAAATATAATCGACATGTGTATTATTACAAAGACACTCTTTGATGCTCATTAACATATCAAAACATACCTGCTACGATCACTGCTCCGTTCACTGCGACTGATGTATTTAATCAAGGCCAAACAAAGAGAAAATTCATCACATCTCCAGAACCGGACTAGGAGAGGTCAGGATCACCGAGAACTGGACCGGCACTGCGCACTTTCTGCGGCTGCGCTTAACCAATCATACTATGGCGAAGGACTGGCTCATTAATATTAATGAGGTAGCGTGACGACCCTACTCGATTGGCTGAAAGGCTTCAAGTGGGTGGCACTTCGATTGTTATGGGCTGTTGGTAGCTGGCGACAGACTTGATTATGAATATTAATGAGATTTATGAGTGGACATTCCATGAAGATTACCAAGAAACGTCAAACGTAACAATCAATATTCATAAGTTAGGCCTTGAGAGGAGAAAATCAGATAATTTACTTCATAAATCATGTCGAGCTGGAAATGCACTTGGTTTAGAATTTCTGTATTTTAATAGAATACAATAGCCTACATATGAATGAGATTTATTATAGATGATTGAGATTATTTTATTAGCCTATATTCATTACTACTCAGCATTATTAATTTCGGGATTCGGACTTATAGAGCGAAAGGTATTTACAAGAATCCTGACAGGAATAATTCTCTCGCCATATTTTTTTGTGTGACGGGTGACATCAGATCACAGTTTACTTTTGATTCTAATGCCATCTGCTGGCAGAACACAATACAATACAATATTTTAAATATTAATGTAATTAGTGTGTATCAAAAATGTATACATACATGTAATTAAAGCATACAATTACATTTTAAGACAAAATATTTCCATTTTTTTAAATAAACATGCCATTTTAGTTCCCTAATTCTTTTTGTTGTCCCTTTTGGATCTGTGTTTTTGTGAAGACTCCTCTGAATGATGTACACTTAAATAAGAAAGGTTCTATTCATAATAGTTTTAATTGTGGTGTTACAATTATGGTGCCAAGTTTTATAATTTATTCTTATTATTATTAATTATGGTGAAATTTGTCTCGCGATGTTAACTTCAGAAACAATCCTCACACTGTAGCCTAGTATCTACACACTAGTACGGCCGAAGAAGCAGAAAAGTTCGGATGCCAGAAGACAGATGGCCCTGTAGTCAATAATTGTATCCCTTAAAACTCATCTTTGATCACCAAAATTACATATTTAAACGTATTTTGCTTGGAAAAAGTTTCTTCATGCCTTAAAATATCTTGAATGTAACTCGACACCCTTCCTTGATTTAGTATACGCAGTTGTATGAATATGCAAATGAGCCCCGCCTCCACTCACTCACTCAGCTCAGAGATCCACTGGTTGACGATCACACGTTGATCTGATTGGTTACAAGGTCGTTTGTGACGTCAGAAACACCAGCGATTTCAAACCGTGTGTTTGAGACTGTCTTTGGTTCACTGCAGTTTTAAGGAGGAAATACTCAGCAATGCTGTCGACTTATGAACTTACACATGGTGTGTCTTAAAGCATATTAAAAACACCACATAGACAGATAAACGACATTAAAAGCGTGATTTTCACCACAGGGGGGCATCAACATAATACTTACGAAAGGCTCAATAATGTATAAGTAATATAAAGATTTTCCACCATTAACAAGACACTTGAATATAAAAAGATCAGACTTTACCATTCAGATCATTTAATGTCTTCTGTCTTAGATGACTATAACCAGACATAATACAACACAAACATATTTTTTTTTATTTGTCATTTATTTGCAGTAAGTATTTATCAAATACTGAAAAAAAGTTTTTGTCTGTGCACTCAACAACCAGAACACACTGGTCCACTTTCTTATTTTCATTTACATGTTAATGTCTGAAAACAAAACAAAACAGAAAAAGTCTATAAAAGAGTCCAACTCCTTTAAAAAGGGAAATAGAAAAACAAATACTAATAATAAATGTTAAAAAAAAATCACAATGCAGCCATGGTTAAAATCATTTTAGTATTCGTATGACAATTCAACCCAGTATAAAGGATATGAAATGGCAGTATACTGTACGTTTATGTACACGCGTAACAGAGAAGAGAAGCTTTCCTCAGTGGTTCATTCAGAATCAATACTGTCAAACTTAAAAATAAGCTTTGTGCAAATGTCTGCAGTTCTATTTCAAACGGACAGATCAAATATTAGTGTTTTCTCTCAGTTTTACAGATTAAAAAAAGAAAAAAGCTCCTCATGTTGCCCTAAAAGTAGTGCTTAAAAACAACCCAAGGCCCAGAATGGTTGACCCAACCCCAGCAGCCCACCTCAAAAACACACCAGTACAAAAGTAGGTTAAAATAGACATGAAAAGAACAGTAACAGTTCTGCTCATAAAAGACACGAAAAACTTCTATTTTATGCACAATGCACTATATCGCAGTTTCGCTTGGATAACGCCACAAGCCGTAAGAGCAAACTCACCCCCTGAAATTAATACTGAAACTCTGAAACACACACACTCACTCACACCCTCACACACACCTCGCACACTCTCTCTCTCTCTCACACACACACCCTCATTTACTCACACATCACATCACACTCACTCACTCACTCACACACCACACACACACACAGACACACACATATTCTCACACACTCACTCAGACACACACACACACCCTCATTTACTCACACATCACATCACACTCACTCACTCACTCACACACCACACACAGACACACACATATTCTCACACACTCACTCAGACACACACACACTCAGACACACACACTCACTCAGACACACACACACACACACAGACACACACATATTCTCACACACTCACTCAGACACACACACACTCAGACACACACACACACTCAGACACACACACACACACAGACACACACACACACACAGACACACACACACACACACACACACACACACACACACACTCAGACACACGCTCACTCAGACACACACATACTCTCACACACTCACTCAGACACACTCTCTCTCTCTCTCTCTCTCTCTCTCACACACACACTCTCTCTTAGTATTTACAAAGCAGTTTTTGTAAAGGGACTTTCGCAGAGTGAGTGGACATGACGGCTGAAGTTCTGTCATCCCAACAGTCTCTCAGTACGAGCCCTTTCAGCTGGCAGTGACTGGACCCTGCGTTCAACACACACACACACACACACACACACACACACACACACACACACACACACACACACACACACTCAAAGCAGTGGGAACACGCTCACAAAGATGGCAGGTAGAAATGTAAAAACAGTAAAAAGAGAAAATATCTGCTCAAAGCCCCACAAAGAGGGGGAATAAAACTATTTAAAGAGCTTTTTAAAGCATTCAACATTTAAAGATCTCCCTTTAATTCAGATTAAATCCACACAAGCTGCCTTCCTTAAACCAATAAACCAAGGCACCCTACTAAGTCCACATGTGTTCCCCTCAACGTGCCTCTGATGCTCATCCAGGTGATGAAATTATGAAGTACTGTATGAAATACAACCAGATTCACTGTTCATGTTACTAAATTTAAAGGATGTGTCCTTTATAATTCACAGCTATGCTAAAATCATTCAACAAACAGGAACGTAAACCCCTCCCACATGCCCAGTAGCCCCTCCCACATGTCATGTAGCCCCTCCTACTTGCACTCAAACTCCTCCCATTTGTCCTTAAAAGGAACAGTTCAACTCAAAGACGTCAAAACGGACACAAAATGACTTAAGAGCTATGTAGATCTGTTCCTCACACAAATCTGTCATGTGACTTTTAAAGTTGAACAAAAAACATAACTTTTTGGGGCGAACTATTCCCTTAACATCTTCTCCCACTTGTAAATATTAACACTCCATTAACAAACTCAACACAAACAAACTTAAGGAATACAAGCTCACTTCATAAATCCCACCCTATAATATTGTACATAGAACAATTATCAACACAGATAATTTCACAGAAATAATATCAAACTATAACCCAACAAAGTGCTAACAGAAGCTGCCGGTGCGATTCCTACCACAACATGTGCTGCTTATCTGCACGTAACACACAGCGTTTGTTTCAAACACACCAATGTTCCTTTCACTGCCAAAGCAACAAAAATGACAAGTAACATCACTAACAACATTTCTGTCAAGGACACAGGCTTTCAAATTGACCATTTCCACAGGAAAATCCATTTGTCTGTTTGCTCCCCTCGTTCACACAGCCTTGCTGTATCCGAAGATCCCCACAGGGAAGAGCTTGACGTGAGTCGGCCACTGCGCCGCCAGCTGGAAGAACTTCACGTCGTGCCACTCCACGCCGTCGATCGACACTGAGGACGACAACAGCAACACTTACACAATCATACCTCACACTACGGAAGCGCATTGCATTCACTTGAGGAAAAACAATCTACTCTGTTTTTCTGAATTAACGAGTTAATTATCTCAGAATTACGAGATAATTTTTCATGAAAAAAAGTTTTTGCTCTGTTTTTCTGAATTAACGAGTTAATAATCTCAGAATTACGAGATCATTTTTCATGAAAAAAAAAAGTTTTTGCTCTGTTTTTCTGAATTAACGAGTTAATATCTCAGAATTACCAGATATTTTTTCATGAAAAAAAAAAGTTTTTGCTCTGTTTTTCTGAATTAACGAGTTAATATCTCAGAATTACCAGATATTTTTTCATGAAAAAAAAAAGTTTTTGCTCTGTTTTTCTGAATTAACGAGTTAATATCTCAGAATTACCAGATATTTTTTCATGAAAAAAAAAAGTTTTTGCTCTGTTTTTATGAATTAACGAGTTAATATCTCAGAATTACGAGATAATTTTTCATGAAAAAAAGTTTTTGCTCTGTTTTTCTGAATTAACGAGTTAATATCTCAGAATTACGAGATCATTTTTCATGAAAAAAAGTTTTTGCTCTGTTTTTCTGAATTAACGAGTTAATATCTCAGAATTACGAGATCATTTTTCATGAAAAAAAAGTTTTTGCTCTGTTTTTCTGAATTAACGAGTTAATATCTCAGAATTACCAGATATTTTTTCATGAAAAAAAAAGTTTTTGCTCTGTTTTTATGAATTAACGAGTTAATATCTCAGAACTACGAGATAATTTTTCATGAAAAAAAGTTTTTGCTCTGTTTTTCTGAATTAACGAGTTAATTATCTCAGAATTACGAGATCATTTTTCATGAAAAAAAAGTTTTTGCTCTGTTTTTCTGAATTAACGAGTTAATATCTCAGAATTACCAGATATTTTTTCATGAAAAAAAAGGTTTTGCTCTGTTTTTCTGAATTAACGAGTTAATATCTCAGAATTACGAGATAATTTTTCATGAAAAAAAGTTTTTGCTCTGTTTTTCTGAATTAACGAGTTAATATCTCAGAATTATGAGATACATTTTTCTTGAAAAAAAAGTTTTTGCTCTGTTTTTCTGAATTAACGAGTTAATTATCTCAGAATTACGAGATAATTTTTCATGAAAAAAGTTTTTGCTCTGTTTTTCTGAATTAACGAGTTAATTATCTCAGAATTACCAGATATTTTTTCATGAAAAAAAAGTTTTTGCTCTGTTTTTCTGAATTAACGAGTTAATATCTCAGAATTACGAGATAATTTTTCATGAAAAAAAGTTTTTGCTCTGTTTTTCTGAATTAACGAGTTAATTCAGAAAAACAGATTCGATTTTTTTCCTCAAGTTAATGCAATACGCTTCCGTATCATACACAATGAGCTCAAACATCAAAAATATCTTGTCCGCAAATTCAGTTCACAAATCTTATGGAAGCTTGTTTCCGCCATGCAATAAAACATAAAAATGTAATTGCAAGTTTTCAATCTCACAATTCTTACTGTTTTTTTATGATATAAAGTCGCAATTATCTTTTAAATTCTTTTATTTCACAATTCTTACTGTTTTTTTATGATATAAAGTCGCTATGGAAGTAAAATAATCCCAAATGTTTTTGAAACAAAAAGCCTGTTGAATTGTACTACTTGAAAAAAATATGCATTGCATTAACCCTGCTTGTATTTTAATGCATTGTATTTTTAGGGCTTGAATTTTATAGGCTGAAATTTAGCATGGTTGAATATTTAAGCTGTGAATATTTCAAATCAAATCATTTCAAACACATTTTCATTAGTAAAATTTCAATAATCCATATTCACCTTTCATATTTCATATCCCAAATATTCAAACTGATTAAAAATACAACCTATAATATTCAACAGGCGGTTTTCGGTCCATTTTATTTTGCTTTGCAAATTCGCTTCCACAAATTCAGTGGTTCAAATTCGACAGTAAATTCAACATTGACATCCAGGAGCTGCAGGAAAAGTAGTAGATTACCGAGCATAATCTCCATCTGCTGTTAGTCGACCACACCAGCAGGGGGTGCAAGCGCGTGTTGTTGACGAAGACCAGAGCAACAGTTAGTGCAAGCCATTCATTCATAAAAACTTATTTACAAAAATGTAAGTGTATTTGTGATTATTATGACGTCTGTTTTATGTGAAATTCAGTGTGTTCACGATTACTTTTCCTGTGTAGCCTAAGTTACATGCATCTTTCTCTACCATGAACGATAATGTCATTCCCCCGATGCGGATGTACAGATCCAGTGTTACATTTGACATATTTCTCTTGGTTGTTTAGTTGCCTTAACCTTATATTGCAGTGATGTGCTGCATGCAGTACTAGGGTTTGGTTTCCCTCAATATGTCAGGATTCCCCTGCTGGACATATAAAACGCTTAACGTAACTTAATGGACATAAAAGACCAAACTCGCAGGCTAGCAGATGGACTCAGAATATGAATTTAACGCGCAAAGTTTAATGCTGAGCGTTTCCCAGTGATATACTGGCATAAATTTGGTTTGACATTGGACATTCGCACATTTAGGGGCCGTCTCTAAAGTTACATACGACATTGGTATACACGTTTCTAACTTAAATACCATTTGAAAAGAACGACTTACAGTCATAAAGCCAACTGTAAAGTGTTCATGTAGGTGTCAGGCTCAGGCATAATGCGCAATTTATTCAAATAGATTGAAGTTTGCTATTGAAGTTAGAAACGTTTAGGCCTATAGGACTTGTTACTTTAGAGACGGTCCCTAAATGTGCGAATGTCAACCCAATTTTTACATTTAGTCTTTTAGCTGGCACTTTTATCCAAAGCGACTAGTTAAACTAACAATATAGAACAACAATATGAAAGTGCTACTTCCCAGTTTAATCTAATGCAGTACATGTACAATACATACTTTCCAAATAAGGTGCGAGTTTGGTCTTTTATATCACTGTAGTCCATTAAGCTACGTTAAGCGCTTTGTCCTGACGGAATTCGGGGAATCTTTGAGTATGATGATGTATTGAGGGAAACAGATTATAATCCCATTCACTGTAGAAAAGGCTGATAACATAAGGCTACACAGGGAAAGTAACAATGAATGAAACATAAAAACAGCTTTTGTGCCTTTATCATCTTTTCCGCATATATACTGATCCAGATAATCGTCACAAAAAACATAATGCATGCTGAGTTTTCATGAATGAATGGCTTGCGCTAACTGTTGCTCTGGTCTTCGTCAACAACACGCGCTTGCACCCCCTGCTGGTGAGGTCGACTAACAGCAGATGGAGATTATGCTCGGTAATCTACTGCTTTTCCTGCAGCTCCTGGATGTCAACGTTGAATTTACTGTCGAATTTGAACCACTGAATTTGTGGAAGCGAATTTGCAAAGCGAAATAAAATGGACCGAAAACCGCCTGTTGAATATTATAGGTTGTATTTTTAATCAGTTTGAATATTTGGGAAATGAAATATGAAAGGTGAATATGGATTATTGAAATTTTACTAATGAAAATGTGTTTGAAATGATTTGATTTGAAATATTCACAGCTTAAATATTCAACCATGCTAAATTTCAGCCTATAAAAATACAAGCCCTAAAAATACAATGCATTAAAATACAAGCAGGGTTAATGCAATGCATATTTTTTTCAAGTAGTACAATTCAACAGGCTTTTTGTTTCAAAAACATTTGGGATTATTTTACTTCCATAAGTCGCAATTATCTTATAAATTCTTTTATTTCACAATTCTTACTGTTTTTTTATGATATAAAGTCGCAATTATCTTATAAATTATTTTATTTCACAATTCTTACTGTTTTTTATGATATAAAGTCGCAATTATCTTATAAATTATTTTATTTCACAATTCTTACTGTTTTTTATGATATAAAGTCCCAATTATCTTATAAATTATTTTATTTCACAATTCTTTGTTTTTTTTATGATATAAAGTCACAATTATCTTATAAATTCTTTTATTTCACAATTCTTACAGTTTTTTTATGATATAAAGTCGCAATTATCTTATAAATTATTTTATTTCGTGGCAGAAACAAGCTTCCATAAGATTTGTGAACTGAATCTCCGAATGTAAAAGAATGTAAAAGATAATTGCGACTTTATATCATGAAAAACAGTAAGAATTGTGAGATTAAAAACTTGCAATTACATGTTTTATTGCATGGCGGAAACAAGCTTCCATACAATTCCAGTGCATTTGTTACAGTGCAAAACAAAACAATAAACAAAACTTTATCAAAATGATCTATGATCAAGTTTAATGTTTTTTTTTATTTTTGTAAGAAAAATCTTTTGCCCACCAAAGCTGCCTTTATTTAATCGAAAATGCAGATAAAACAGTAATATTGTGAAAATTATTACAATTTAAAATAGCTGTTTTCTTTGTGAATATTCCTGTAATGATAAAGCTGTATTCCAGCATCATTACTCCAGTCTTCAGAGTCACATGATCCTCCAGAAATCACTCTGATATGAGGATTTGCTGCTCAAAAAACATTTATTATTATTACCTGTGTTGAAAACAGTTGAGCTGCGTCAGATTTTTGTGGAAACCAAGATACATTTTTAAAAGGATTCTTTAATCAATAGAATGTTGAACATTTATTAGAAATATAAATATTTTTTACTATAAAAGTCTTAAAGTCCCCCTGTAGTCAATACAACTCATCTTTGATCACCAGAATGACATATTTAAACGTTTTCTCATTGAAAGAAGTGCCTTAAAATCGCTTGAATGTAACTCGACACCCTTCCCTCATTTAGTATACGCGGTTCTATGAATATGCAAATGAGCCCCGCCTCCACTCACTCACAGCAGTGATACTATAAAGTGTTGCACTAACGACCACAGGGTGGCAGTCAGGCTGCATGTGGTGTGTGTGTGTGAGTGTGCTGTGTGTGTGTTTACCCTTCAGCATGGTGTGCTGGTGTTTGGCCGTGCAGATGAGCCTGCTGATGCTGTCGATCACCTGACTCTTAGAGTCCACGTCCTTCTCCTTCAGCTTCTTGCTCAGGAAGATCACTGGAAGGAAACCAGACGTGAAGCAACAGCACAAACTAATCCCCCTTACATCAGCTCACTTTACACTAGCTCACCTTTCTTGTTCTTCTCCTTCATGACGACGGTCATGGCCATGCCGGGAGGGGGTGTCGGCTCGCCTCCGGTGGGGATTCGGGAAACCTGCAGCGAGCGGAAGTTACTCTTCAGCGTGTTCTTAATCCCCACGTCCCTCTTCTCGCCCTCTTTCTTCTTCTCTGCGCCCTGTAGCGTCCAGTAGTCCACCTGAAGACCCATCACCTCCCCACCGGTGCCTGGAGAACTGCACACACACATAAGTAAGCCATAAGGTACTCGAGGCTGTGCTGTGTGGTGAATAAGTCCCGGCTGAGGGCGTTGTTGGGCTCAACGCCAAAACCCCTTCAGCCAAGGCACGGTGCCGGGATGCCAGTTCTGAATGGGCCAGACCAATTGTGGGTGGGCCTTAAATTAAAAACGTTACTGTTTAACCTAATAAAAATGACTGCCTAATATACTGTTATATTATCTGTGCATAGGACGGTCCTATCCGCGATCGCTCTCCTTGGCTCTGACTTGTTCATTGACAACGTCATCTGTTATGTAAAACATGCTCCAAAAGAGCTCATTAACATCAATCACACCCATTAGGCCTAAATCAGGGCATACGTGGCAATAGACCCATTTGACGATTTCATACAACATCAATTTCTTTCGATTTCATTACCAACAGATTGAGCTTGGCTTATTATACAGAGAAGATGCATTAAAATGTAGCCTATAGACGAGCTACTACGAGATAATAACTAATGCAATAGGCTACCGCCAATTTACGGTCATCCACGAAGATTAACAGCCCTTTAACGCAAATCGCATCAAGCATCACAATATCAACAAAGTTTGCTGCATTGCAAATAAAAAAAAACATTTCAGAAGCCATTAACTTATCAGGCTAAAAATAACAACTGGGTAGGCTAAATGACACTCATATTTTTGCGCCAACAGGCGGGCTTAAAAGTTTGCCACACGTGAAAATAGATAGGCATGGGAAGAATATTCATTCATTGCAAAACAAATTGTTCAACATCACAGAAGGAAAAGGCATGCTAGCTATCTCTCCGAAATGACAGGAGTAGCTAGTCGGCGGGGTTTGCTCTTGAAAATGTCAATGATTGCATCGAAGTCGAGAGTTACTGTAAGCTCTCTCTCAAATGTCAACAGACAGAGGGACATGAGGCGAGAAGTAAGCATGGCGCTCCTATTTGGTGTTTTAATCCGGTTGACACTGGAAAAGACTGTGTTTATGAGTGAGTCAGTCAGTAGAGAAGACTTTTATATTGAAAGGACTCAAACTTGTGAACACGGAAAAGCAAGACGCAACTGACAGATGACTAGCGTGTCACGGGAAAACCCCATAACTGTTAAAAGGACAAGATATCGCAGCGGACATTCAAACAGATTTTTATTATGAATATAGGTCTGACCTGAAGGAAAATGCTAAATCTACTGTAAATGCAGGTACACTTACTTTCTCAATCTTTTACAATACTCTATAGAGAGCCTAAGCCCCTCCCCTTCCGGTCGACCACCATGGGACCTTATTTCGGAAAAATATTGTATGGTAGTCAATGGCGAGAGACAACAAATATTTTGATCTCGTTTGAATTGTGCCCTGAATTACACATATGATGTTTGTCAATTTAAAAGATACATTTTAAAGTCAAGAAAGTCGCAGTTAGATGTAAAACTGTTGAGGTATAAGACTGTGAAGATACGTAATTACAAAGACTACAAACCCAAAAGGCGCACATTTTCTCTCAATGAATGAAGCTAACTTTACTGAAGCTAACTTTACTGAAGCTAACTACTGAAGCTAACTTTACTGATGCTAACTTTACTGAAGCTAACCTTACTGAAGCTAACTTTACTGAAGCTCACTTTACTGAAGCTCACTTTACTGAAGCTAACTTTACTGAATCTAACTTTACTGAAGCTAACTTTACTGATGCTAACTTTACTGATGTTAACTTTACTGAAGCTAACTTTACTGAAGCTAACTTTACTGAAGCTAACTTTACTGAAGCTAACTTTACTGAAGTTAACTTTACTGAAGCTAACTTTACTGAAGCTAACTTTACTGAAGCTAACTTTACTGAAGCTAAGTAAAGCTTCAGCTTCAACTTTACTGAACCTAACTTTACTGGAGCTAACTTTACTGAAGCTAACTTTACTGAAGCTAACTTTACTGAACCTAACTTTACTGAAGCTAACTTTACTGAACCTAACTTTACTGAAGCTAACTTTACTGAACCTAACTTTACTGGAGCTAACTTTACTGATGTTAACTTTACTGAAGCTAACTTTACTGAACCTAACTTTACTGAAGCTAACTTTACTGAAGCTAACTTTACTGAAGCTAACTTTACTGAAGCTAACTTTACTGAATCTAACTTTACTGGAGCTAACTTTACTGGAGCGAACTTTACTGGAGCTAACTTTACTGGAGCTAACTTTACTGAAGCTAACTTTACTGAAGCTAACTTTACTGAAGTTAACTTTACTGAAGCTAACTTTACTGACGCTAACTTTACTGACGCTAACTTTACTGACGCTAACTTTACTGACGCTAACTTTACTGAAGCTAACTTTACTGAAGCTAACTTTACTGAAGCTAACTTTACTGAAGATAACTTTACTGAAGATAACTTTACTGACGCTAACTTTACTGACGCTAACTTTACTGAAGCTAACTTTACTGAAGCTAACTTTACTGAAGCTAACTTTACTGGAGCTAACTTTACTGGAGCTAACTTTACTGAACCTAACTTTACTGAAGCTAACTTTAATGAAGCTAACTTTACTGAAGCTAACTTTACTGGAGCTAACTTTACTGGAGCTAACTTTACTGATGCTAACTTTACTGAAGCTAACTTTACTGGAGCTAACTTTACTGAAGCTAACTTTACTGGAGCTAACTTTACTGGAGCTAACTTTACTGAAGCTAACTTTACTGGAGCTAACTTTACTGAAGCTAACTTTACTGATGCTAACTTTACTGAAGCTAACTTTACTGAAGCTAACTTTACTGAAGCTAACTTTACTGGAGCTAACTTTACTGAAGCTAACTTTACTGATGCTAACTTTACTGAAGCTAACTTTACTGAAGCTAACTTTACTGATGCTAACTTTACTGAAGCTTACTTTACTGAAGCTAACTTTACTGGAGCTAACTTTACTGAAGCTAACTTTACTGATGCTAACTTTACTGAAGCTAACTTTACTGAAGCTAACTTTACTGATGCTAACTTTACTGAAGCTTACTTTACTGAAGCTAACTTTACTGATGCTAACTTTACTGAAGCTTACTTTACTGAAGCTAACTTTACTGATGCTAACTTTACTGAAGCTAACTTTACTGAAGCTAACTTTACTGAAGCTATCTTTACTGAAGCTAACATTACTGAAGCTAACTTTACGATTATCGTCTGCGATAATCGTAACGTTACGCCGTCATCGAGTGTTTTGTACCAGACTGCACACACACGAGCAGCGGATCTCGCTCGTTGTTTCGCTTCCCGGGAGATGTAGTTCATTGAGCGATTTTCACATAAAACTAAATGTTACTCTTCTGTTTCATGACAAACTGCGACTTTCTTGACTTTCATAATTATCTTTTAAATTGACAAACATCATATGTGTAATTCAGGGCACAGTTCAGACGGAATAAAAAAATAAGTTGACTCTCGCCATTGACTACCATACATATTTTTTGTTGATACATACATATACATTTAGAGTGGTTGCTAGGGGTGTTGTGTAGTGGTACACAGAACCGCTGGGTGAAGCGGCCATAGCCGTGTGTTATCGTGAATAAAACAGCTATTGACCAATCAGAATCAAGGACTGGAACTAACCGTTTTATAAGTGTGAAATATAAGAGTAGATGATGTACGCAAAAACGCATTTTCGCTGGCGCCAAAGCCATGCTCGACTCCTTTTCATACTCATTTCTCACTGAAATGGTTTACATTGTTGTCTAGGTGGACATTAGGTGCGTCCCAAATCGCGTACTTGAGCACAATTATACGCCATTTTGTAGTATAAATAAATAGTGCGAGGAGTGCGTTAACACTGAAAACTCTAAACAGAAAAAGTGCACTTTAAGTACCCGGATGATGCACTTATTTAACGGATAAAACGAAGTGTGTAATGTTGGACACTCGATGCACTCGACTGTCACAGCTGTGATGATGTAGCGGAGGGGGAGGGGCATCAGACGCCGATGTTGAAAGACAAAATAAACGTATAAAGTTCTTACACTACACGTTTGAGTACATACTGCATAAGTATAGTGTATAGTGCGCCATTTGGGATGCTAATGCTAATGGGATGCAGCTAATGATCATGAATTTTAGCATTTGCGCTACAGTTTGAGTGTTGAGTTGCTCGTACCCTGCTCCAGAGAGACCAGCAGACACAGAGGGGGATGAGGGGGGGGTGCAGGCCATGTCCTTCCCGTACGCCGTTCCCGTCTGCGCCGGAGGAGACGAGAGCATGTTCACACTGCCCACCATCACTGCATCATCAGAGTCCACTGCCACACACACACACACACACACACACACACATCAGTCATATTTCACTGCTGTTGGTGTTTTTATTGGGTTCTTTCTTGGCTAAATGTGAAGCCTACCTGATGTGGATAAGCTGTGCTCCACAATTCCCACTTTCACCAACTGCAAGAAAACACATCCAAATCCTGAATTACTGAAAGTCCCCCTGTGGTGAAAAGCTTTTAATGTTGTTTATGTGTCTATGTGGTGTTTTTAATGTGCTTTAAGACAAACCATGTGTAAATTCATAAGTCGACAGCATTGCTGAGTATTTGACTAAAACTGCATACTATTGTTTATATTATTTCTGCAGTATTTTCCATATTTATAGTATTCATAACTGCAAAATATACAGCCAGCACTGTGCATAATACTGTATCCCACAATGCAATGCTTTTGACTTGGCGTTCAATTTTCAATGCGATGGCATTTCGACCAAATGATAAGTCAAGAGCAAGATGTTAAAAATTGATTGGTTGATAGTGGTTGGTTCCAAGGCAATTTTACACCAAATTGGGTTAAAACACAAAATATCTTGCTAACAGAAGAGAAATGTAGCGTAATATTGTTTTAAACATTTATCTTTGCACACTGAACTTTCAGATATTTTAATATACAATATACAGTAGTCTATGGAAGCTTGTTTACGCCACAGAATAAAACGTTTTAAAAGATAATTGTGACTTTATTTCTCAGAATTGTGAGATAAAAGGTCAAAATTACCTTTTTTATTTTTTATTCTGTGGCGGAAACAAGCTTCCATAGTAATCAGGACATAATTTGCTCTACATATTCTACAAATTTGGTTAAAAAAAGAGCCTGGAACTTTAACTTTAAGTCTTGTTTTTTCTTTCCAATAAGCAAAAAAAGTGATGTTGTTCACCGACCTCAGGAGGTCAAATAAATTATTATATGAGCTGTTTTGTTAGATTTATTTAACATGATTCATTTACATTTTACATTTTTGCAACCCTGTTACCAACATTTTTATCTCTGGATGCAAATTTGAGTGATTCCATTATTTTCCTGCAATAAACATTAAATAAACAACATTTTATTTAAAACAACGTTTTCTTACAATAATTTTGCAATAACTGGGTAATAACTAGGTACCCTGAACCATTTTGTGTGATAAGGAAAAATCATGGAATACCAGGGTTGTGCTAAACATTGTTTTAAGGCAGTTTAAACGAGTCACTAATTTAAATATATATTTAGAGGTAATTCATTATTTCATTATGATTAAAATTAATGCTGAAGTTTGTGTTTACATAACATATGTGTGTGTCCTGTGTATAATTATTTTGTATATATAAATACACACACATGCATGTATATATTTAAGAAAAATGTGTTATTTATATATAACATGTCTATATTTATACATAATATAAATTATGTATAATTATATATACAGTATATACATGCAAATATTTCTTAAATGTATACATGATGTGTGTATTTATACAACATAATTATACACAGGACATACATATGTTCTGTAAACACAAACTTTTATTTTGGATGCGATTTATCACTGCCCAGCTCTAATTAAAATATAACAAAATATACATATAAAGCATATTTCTCACTCCAATGCTTTTGTAATTGGACCAAGTATATTTGCAGCTTTACAACAACAAAAGAGAGGAAATGATAGAGAGAAAGCATTTCTCACCCCAATGAACGGGACGAACTTCTGGCAGGAGTCTTCGTCAGGGCTGTGGAGGTCAGAGGAGGGAAGCGTGGGTTAGGCTGTGTGTGAGCTGTGTGTGCGGTGTGTGTGTGGCTCATGGTGAGGGTGAGGGCTCATGCCATGGTGAGGGTCATGAGAGGACGCTGGGACGCTTCTTACATCCTCCACCAGTCAGCGGGGTGTAAGGCTGCAGGCGATGGGCACGCTATACTCGACTCAATGATATATAGGCTTTCGTGGCGTTTCCCAAGAGTCGTCTACGACTGACAGAAGCTCGCAGGACAACTCTCCAGACTCAGGACACAAGCAACTTACAAAATTCTCAATTTAGTCGACTGTGTGTGACAAAAACAGGGCTGTCACAAGAGTAGTCTCGCACAGCCAGACTTTTGACTATCGGCATAACGTCTGATCCACACTGGCTACGTTTACATGCTCAACTTTAGTTTCAATCGGACTGGATTCATTCATAGTGTTTACATGAACACTAAACATGTGATCGGGTTGATCCAATCGCAACTTCTGTTTGCGCATGATAGCTATTTTCCAACATTGGTTCTTTATTTGTTTTAAACAGCAGACTTAATATTTATCCATTTCTGGTCATAATTTGGAGACATGAGCATATGAACCGTTGTGCCGCTGCTTATATTTATGATCACGCAGTAAAAATGCCCGACACCAGTCGTCTGTGGATGAGAGTCTGAAAGCAGGACTGGTGGGCCGCTGTCCGGCTCCACTTCACACACACAGTGAAAGGAGAATTATAGTGATGGGACACTCATTTATACGACACTTTATTCAACAGGAAGATCGGCTCGTTCCGCTCGTCATTCGTCATTACGCTATTTCTACGTCATTGCACATGCGCAGTCCTTTCAGTTTCGGTTCTCAATCCGATCAAGTGTTCACATGTCCTCTCGACCGGATTAGTAAAGGAATAAACCAACCCTTTCAATCCGATTGAAGTTACATTGAGATCGAGCTCAATCGGATCGGTTAAGCGTTTACATGAAGGCTTTTCAGTCCGATTGAGCCGTCAGTCCGATTACTAATGGATTATTTGGTTGCGTGTAAGGGTAGCCACTGTGCTTAGCCAATAGCCGGCCACTTACACCGGAAGAGAATGTCTGACCAACATGGACAATGACCAATCACAACTTGGAGAAAGCTCAACTTTACGTGTCTCAAACCATAGATATCCATAATAAAGGCTAGATGTCTTACGGCGGAGTCTCTATCGGCATCACCGGCGGCCATCTTGTCACAGGCAAGCTTTCTGGCGGGCTCTGTGGTGCCTGATGTAAGATGAGTGATCAGCACAAACACAAATACTCTTATCTCGTTGAAATCTTGACGGATTTACAAACGGTTTGGTTTCTTACAAACGTTATTAACGTGGCTATAATTCTGGATGATAATTTATTTATACACTTATTATTCATAAGTATGCAGTGTCATAACTACATCTCTGACGTTTATAACAAACCAAACCGTTTGAAAATCGGTAGAAAATTGAGCAAGTTATGGTTATTTAAAAAGTACATGCACCATTAAAACACAATGTTACGAGTGAGCGAGCTGCCTGTGGCAAGATGGCCGCCAGTGCGGACGTCCACCTCCATTGGCCAGCAGTGCGGACGAGACATCTAGCCTTTATTATGGATATCTATGTCTCAAACCTCAACATTTATTTCCTAAATTTGAAGCCGTGAACAAACAAACTCAACCAATTGGGTAAATGACCATGATGAAACAACAAGCGAAAAAATCTTTTAAAAAATCAAGAAAAAAAGTTCTCTTTGTATTCATATGGTTTTAAAAACACCATTTTCAAGAAAAGTTTCAATTTTATAGGTCTCGTTAGCCATGTGTACGCATACATTTGTGTGAAATCTTTTTTTACAAACAAATTATGGTTCATCAACAGCTTCCGTGCTGAAATGTATTATAAATTCACGAAAAAATGGAGGAACAACTGAAACCACACATACGCAAAAATCACATACTTAAGGTCCGATCACACTACACTTTTCGTTCCATTGGCTTCCAGTCATACGCATATGAATGACGGATACCGGAGACACAAGACGCTTCGAATTTTGTCGCTCTCCAAAGTTCAAGTTTGGTGAACTCTGACCTGCGAATTCATATCATGTGTGACCGTGGCGAGACCTCTTGGCTGAATGAAAAGAGAGAACGCAGACTTTTTGAGTGGAGTAGATAGTGTACAATTTGTACATTATAGGTGTATTATTATTTGTTTCATTTTAAATGTATGTTTATGGAAAAGACAACGCGGAGTGTGACGTCATTTCACACACGTTGCAGTGTCTTCTCTGGTGTGACTGCGGCTTAAAAGTGTTAAGATGCAATTTTATACATAGATATTTAATCTTAAATATTTTCATTGTTTACTGCGTTTGAACTGGTTTTGAAGATGCTGGAGAAAGTCTCGGCTCAGGCGAGAGCTCGTCTTCATCTGCTTCTGTCCATCCTCGCTTCATTCATTTCTCTTTGTTGTCTCTCTCTCTTTACATATCTCCTTTCACCTTTCTCTATTTTATTCTGCTTCATATAAAGTGATAATTGGGTGTGTGATCTTTTGTATTTGTGCTCGTCCTTCTGCTGGTAAACTGCAGAATACCAGATTTATGTTCCAGTCCGTGAGGTGTTTCCTTATTCATCTAATACTTGTCTTTCATAACACATTCATGAAATTGATCGCTTTGATTAACTTAATATTCCAAATATTAACAAGTAATCTTCAAGTCTTCCTCAACTAACACTTGCAAATTTGAACCCGCAACCTTTCAGTTACCACATGTTCAACCACTAACACACACCACCCTATACTTCACTTAGTTAGTCACCAACCATTTCTTATTCCAAACCTGTTAAACCAAACCAGTTAAAGACACAAACAGACAGAATTATGAAAACACAGAACACACAGTGAGAAAAACTAGTAGTCACGCAGACATGTGTGTGAGGTTAACACACTGAGAGCATGAGTGATTTAAACCACAGCAAACATGGACGGCAACCCAAACACACGGTTAGGTACCTGATGTAAAAATCAAAATACAAACTTCTCTTCCTTGAAGGCAAAAACAAAAGAAAAGGAGGTAAAAGACCCAAAGCATAACAGTTACTGCACCATCCTCAACACACATCTTCTCAATGACAAAAGAAAAGAAAATCAAACAAATGAGTGACATAATTAATTTTTGCAAGTAATTAATTAAGCAACTGATTATAAGAGGCTTTGTCTGATCTACTTTATGGACTAATTGACTATAATGATTATGATACCCATATTAATTATTCTCATAAATCATGTCCTTGTCACATTTCACCCCAAAACTAAAACAAATAAGAACTGATTTATATTGTGCAGTAAAAACAAATCATAATGAATGTTTTTCATTAAGTTTCCATCATTTAGGAACGTTAAGATTATTTTATGACAATCAAGCTCATTTTCCCTAAATCCTCATTACAGCAAAATGCACAATTTTACTTTTTTGAGGGGGAAATTGTCAATGTTTTTTTTTCTTCAGGTTCTTTACTGTAATAAAGAATTATTACAGTAAAGAATCCAATAAATGTTTTTCATGAAAACAAAGCAATACATTTTAATTGTCCTAAAATAATCTTACTTTAGTGAGTAATGTTGGTGTTTGAGCATGAAAAAGCTCTGCAAAGTTACAAAGCACAAAGTCTTCTCTATATCAGTGTCAGTGTTACTGAACTCCATTGTAGTCTTGAGTTTCTTCCGGGAACGAACACGTCACAATATTCCTCATTTAAATAATTAATCCGCAGAAAAAAGGGGCGGGGCCTGGTTGAGTTAGTAAGTAGTGTGTTAAACTGGCGGTTATGGAAAGGGGCGGTACATTTCCCAAACACACTCGAAGCACTTGGCCAGTCACAACACACTGATCCAGCCGACCAATCAGAGCACAGTGCGGTTTTCAGAAGGAGGGGCTTCATAGAGACAGGAACTAAACTAAACAAAAAGCGTTACTGACAGACTGGGAAGAGAGGAGCTGCAACATTGGAGAATATGAGGAAATAATTGTTTTTGAACATTCAAGAATGAAAGCCTGTTCTAGTAGAGCCCAATAACAAAATCAAGACTTTGTAAAAGGTCATAATATGGCCTCTTTACATATAATAAACAATGTTTTTCTTTTCAATTTGGGGTGAAATCTGACCTGGATCATTTTCCTTGATACATTTTGTAAGATTAAAGGTTAGTTCACCCAAAAATGAAAATCCTGTAATAAATTACTCACCGTCATGTCGTTCCCAACCCGTAAGACTTTCGTTCATCTTCGAAACACAAATGAAGATCCTTTTGATGACATCTGAGATTTTTCTGTCTCTCCATTGACAGCTAATTCATATGAATTGAGCGGTTTGGTCCAAATTTTCTGAAGAGACTCGATCACTTTATATGATGAACAGAATTTAGGCTTTTATTCAAATTTAAACATTGATCAGCGAACATAAACAGAAGCTCAACCAAACCTGCTTGACGTGTGAGAACAAACCTCATTGGTTCTTGCTGAAGCTCAAACGTGCTGCGTAACACGAGAATGAACCTCATTGGTTCTTGCTGAAGCTCAAACGTGATGCGTAACACGAGAATGAACCTCATTGGTTCTTACAGAAGCTCAAACGTGCTGCGTAACACGAGAATGAACCTCATTGGTTCTTGCCGAAGCTCAAACGTGCTGCGTAACACGAGAATGAACCTCATTGGTTCTTGCAGAAGTTCAAACGTGATGCGTAACACGAGAATTAACCTCATTGGTTCTAGCAGAAGCTCAAACGTGATGCGTAACACGAGAATGAACCTCATTGGTTCTTGCTGAAGTTCAAACGTGATGGGTAACACGAGAATGAACCTCATTGGTTCTTACAGAAGCTCAAACGTGCTGCGTAACACGAGAATGAACCTCATTGGTTCTTGCAGAAGTTCAAACGTGATGCGTAACACGAGAATGAACCTCATTGGTTCTTGCAGAAGTTCAAACGTGATGCGTAACACGAGAATTAACCTCATTGGTTCTTGCAGAAGCTCAAACGTGCTGGGTAACACGAGAATGAACCTCATTGGTTCTTGCAGAAGCTCAAACGTGCTGCGTAACACGAGAATGAACCTCATTGGTTCTTGCTGAAGCTCAAACGTGATGCGTAACACGAGAATGAACCTCATTGGTTCTTACAGAAGCTCAAACGTGCTGCGTAACACGAGAATGAACCTCATTGGTTCTTGCAGAAGTTCAAACGTGATGCGTAACACGAGAATGAACCTCATTGGTTCTTGCAGAAGTTCAAACGTGATGCGTAACACGAGAATGAACCTCATTGGTTCTTGCAGAAGTTCAAACGTGATGCGTAACACGAGAATTAACCTCATTGGTTCTTGCAGAAGCTCAAACGTGATGCGTAACACGAGAATGAACCTCATTGGTTCTTGCTGAAGCTCAAACGTGATGCGTAACACGAGAATGAACCTCATTGGTTCTTGCTGAAGTTCAAACGTGATGCGTAACACGAGAATGAACCTCATTGGTTCTTGCTGAAGTTCAAACGTGATGCGTAACACGAGAATGAACCTCATTGGTTCTTGCTGAAGTTCAAACGTGATGCGTAACACGAGAATGAACCTCATTGGTTCTTACAGAAGCTCAAACGTGCTGCGTAACACGAGAATGAACCTCATTGGTTCTTGCTGAAGCTCAAACGTGCTGCGTAACACGAGAATGAACCTCATTGGTTCTTGCTGAAGCTCAAACGTGATGCGTAACACGAGAATGAACCTCATTGGTTCTTGCTGAAGCTCAAACGTGCTGCGTAACACGAGAATGAACCTCATTGGTTCTTGCTGAAGCTCAAACGTGCTGCGTAACACGAGAATGAACCTCATTGGTTCTTGCAGAAGCTCAAACGTGCTGCGTAACACGAGAATGAACCTCATTGGTTCTTGCTGAAGTTCAAACGTGCTGCGTAACACGAGAATGAACCTCATTGGTTCTTGCTGAAGTTCAAACGTGATGCGTAACACGAGAATGAACCTCATTGGTTCTTGCTGAAGCTCAAACGTGATGCGTAACACGAGAATGAACCTCATTGGTTCTTGCAGAAGCTCAAACGTGCTGCGTAACACGAGAATGAATCTCATTGGTTCTTGCTGAAGTTCAAACGTGCTGCGTAACACGAGAATGAACCTCATTGGTTCTAGCTGAAGTTCAAACGTGCTGCGTAACACAAGAATGAACCTCATTGGTTCTTGCTGAAGCTCAAACGTGATGCGTAACACGAGAATGAACCTCATTGGTTCTTGCTGAAGTTCAAACGTGCTGCGTAACACGAGAATGAACCTCATTGGTTCTTGCTGAAGTTCAAACGTGCTGCGTAACACAAGAATGAACCTCATTGGTTCTTGCTGAAGTTCAAACGTGATGCGTAACACGAGAATGAACCTCATTGGTTCTTGCTGAAGTTCAAACGTGCTGCGTAACACGAGAATGAACCTCATTGGTTCTTGCTGAAGCTCAAACGTGATGCGTAACACGAGAATGAACCTCATTGGTTCTTGCAGAAGCTCAAACGTGCTGCGTAACACGAGAATGAACCTCATTGGTTCTTGCTGAAGCTCAAACGTGATGCGTAACACGAGAATGAACCTCATTGGTTCTTGCAGAAGTTCAAACGTGCTGCGTAACACGAGAATGAACCTCATTGGTTCTTGCTGAAGTTCAAACGTGATGCGTAACACGAGAATGAACCTCATTGGTTCTTGCTGAAGCTCAAACGTGCTGCGTAACACGAGAATGAACCTCATTGGTTCTTGCTGAAGCTCAAACGTGATGCGTAACACGAGAATGAACCTCATTGGTTCTTGCTGAAGCTCAAACGTGATGCGTAACACGAGAATGAACCTCATTGGTTCTTGCTGAAGCTCAAACGTGATGCGTAACACGAGAATGAACCTCATTGGTTCTTGCTGAAGCTCAAACGTGATGCGTAACACGAGAATGAACCTCATTGGTTCTTGCTGAAGCTCAAACGTGATGCGTAACACGAGAATGAACCTCATTGGTTCTTGCTGAAGTTCAAACGTGATGCGTAACACGAGAATGAACCTCATTGGTTCTTGCTGAAGTTCAAACGTGATGCGTAACACGAGAATGAACCTCATTGGTTCTTGCTGAAGCTCAAACGTGATGCGTAACACGAGAATGAATCTCATTGGTTCTTGCTGAAGCTCAAACGTGCTGTGTCACACGAGAATGAACCTCATTGGTTCTTGCTGAAGCTCAAACGTGATGCGTAACACGAGAATGAACCTCATTGGTTCTTGCTGAAGCTCAAACGTGCTGCGTAACACGAGAATGAAACTCATTGGTTCTTGCTGAAGCTCAAACGTGCTGCGTAACACGAGAATGAACCTCATTGGTTCTTGCAGAAGCTCAAACGTGCTGGGTAACACGAGAATGAACCTCATTGGTTCTTGCTGAAGCTCAAACGTGCTGCGTAACACGAGAATGAACCTCATTGGTTCTTGCAGAAGCTCAAACGTGCTGCGTAACACGAGAATGAATCTCATTGGTTCTTGCTGAAGCTCAAACGTGCTGCGTAACACGAGAATGAATCTCATTGGTTCTTGCTGAAGCTCAAACGTGCTGCGTAACACGAGAATGAACCTCATTGGTTCTTGCTGAAGTTCAAACGTGATGCGTAACACGAGAATGAACCTCATTGGTTCTTGCTGAAGCTCAAACGTGCTGCGTAACACGAGAATGAACCTCATTGGTTCTTGCTGAAGTTCAAACGTGATGCGTAACACGAGAATGAACCTCATTGGTTCTTGCCGAAGCTCAAACGTGCTGCGTAACACGAGAATGGACCTCATTGGTTCTTGCTGAAGCTCAAACGTGATGCGTAACACGAGAATGAACCTCATTGGTTCTTGCAGCAGCTCAAACGTGATGCGTAACACGAGAATGGACCTCATTGGTTCTTGCTGAAGCTCAAACGTGATGCGTAACACGAGAATGAACCTCATTGGTTCTTGCAGAAGCTCAAACGTGATGCGTAACACGAGAATGAACCTCATTGGTTCTTGCTGAAGTTCAAACGTGATGCGTAACACGAGAATGAACCTCATTGGTTCTTGCTGAAGCTCAAACGTGCTGCGTAACACGAGAATGAACCTCATTGGTTCTTGCAGAAGCTCAAACGTGCTGCGTAACACGAGAATGAACCTCATTGGTTCTTGCTGAAGATCAAACGTGATGCGTAACACGAGAATGAATCTCATTGGTTCTTGCTGAAGATCAAACGTGCTGCGTAACACGAAAATGAACCTCATTGGTTCTTGCAGAAGCTCAAACGTGCTGCGTAACACGAGAATGAACCTCATTGGTTCTTGCTGAAGATCAAACGTGATGCGTAACACGAGAATGAACCTCATTGGTTCTTGCAGAAGTTCAAACGTGATGCGTAACACGAGAATGAACCTCATTGGTTCTTGCTGAAGCTCAAACGTGCTGCGTAACACGAGAATGAACCTCATTGGTTCTTGCAGAAGTTCAAACGTGATACGTAACACGAGAATGAACCTCATTGGTTCTTGCTGAAGTTCAAACGTGATGCGTAACACGAGAATGAACCTCATTGGTTCTTGCTGAAGCTCAAACGTGCTGCGTAACACGAGAATGAACCTCATTGGTTCTTGCTGAAGTTCAAACGTGATACGTAACACGAGAATGAACCTCATTGGTTCTTGCAGAAGCTCAAAGGTGCTGCGTAACACGAGAATGAACATCATTGGTTCTTGCTGAAGCTCAAACGTGCTGCGTAACACGAGAATGAACCTCATTGGTTCTTGCCGAAGCTCAAACGTGATGCGTAACACGAGAATGAACCTCATTGGTTCTTGCCGAAGCTCAAACGTGCTGCGTAACACGAGAATGAACCTCATTGGTTCTTGCAGAAGCTCAAACGTGCTGCGTAACACGAGAAGGAACCTCATTGGTTCTTGCTGAAGATCAAACGTGATGCGTAACACGAGAATGAATCTCATTGGTTCTTGCTGAAGATCAAACGTGCTGCGTAACACGAAAATGAACCTCATTGGTTCTTGCAGAAGCTCAAACGTGCTGCGTAACACGAGAATGAACCTCATTGGTTCTTGCTGAAGATCAAACGTGATGCGTAACACGAGAATGAACCTCATTGGTTCTTGCAGAAGTTCAAACGTGATGCGTAACACGAGAATGAACCTCATTGGTTCTTGCTGAAGCTCAAACGTGCTGCGTAACACGAGAATGAACCTCATTGGTTCTTGCTGAAGTTCAAATGTGATGCGTAACACGAGAATGAACCTCATTGGTTCTTGCTGAAGCTCAAACGTGCTGCGTAACACGAGAATGAACCTCATTGGTTCTTGCTGAAGTTCAAACGTGATGCGTAACACGAGAATGAACCTCATTGGTTCTTGCAGAAGCTCAAACGTGCTGCGTAACACGAGAATGAACCTCATTGGTTCTTGCCGAAGCTCAAACGTGCTGCGTAACACGAGAATGAACATCATTGGTTCTTGCTGAAGCTCAAACGTGCTGCGTAACACGAGAATGAACCTCATTGGTTCTTGCCGAAGCTCAAACGTGATGCGTAACACGAGAATGAACCTCATTGGTTCTTGCCGAAGCTCAAACGTGCTGCGTAACACGAGAATGAACCTCATTGGTTCTTGCTGAAGCTCAAACGTGCTGCGTAACACGAGAATGAACCTCATTGGTTCTTGCTGAAACTCAAACGTGCTGCGTAACACGAGAATGAACCTCATTGGTTCTTGCTGAAGCTCAAACGTGATGCGTAACACGAGAATGAACCTCATTGGTTCTTGCTGAAACTCAAACGTGCTGCGTAACACGAGAATGAACCTCATTGGTTCTTGCTGAAGCTCAAACGTGATGCGTAACACGAGAATGAACCTCATTGGTTCTTGCAGAAGCTCAAACGTGATGCGTAACACGAGAATGGACCTCATTGGTTCTTGCAGAAGCTCAAACGTGATGCGTAACACGAGAATGGACCTCATTGGTTCTTGCTGAAGCTCAAACGTGATGCGTAACACGAGAATGAACCTCATTGGTTCTTGCAGAAGCTCAAACGTGATGCGTAACACGAGAATGGACCTCATTGGTTCTTGCTGAAGCTCAAACGTGATGCGTAACACGAGAATGAACCTCATTGGTTCTTGCAGAAGCTCAAACGTGCTGCGTAACACGAGAATGAACCTCATTGGTTCTTGCTGAAGTTCAAACGTGATGCGTAACACGAGAATGAACCTCATTGGTTCTTGCAGAAGCTCAAACGTGCTGCGTAACACGAGAATGAACCTCATTGGTTCTTGCTGAAGTTCAAACGTGATGCGTAACACGAGAATGAACCTCATTGGTTCTTGCTGAAGCTCAAACGTGCTGCGTAACACGAGAATGAACCTCATTGGTTCTTGCAGAAGCTCAAACGTGCTGCGTAACACGAGAATGGACCTCATTGGTTCTTGCTGAAGTTCAAACGTGATGCGTAACACGAGAATGAACCTCATTGGTTCTTGCAGAAGCTCAAACGTGCTGCGTAACACGAGAATGGACCTCATTGGTTCTTGCAGAAGCTCAAACGTGCTGCGTAACACGAGAATGAACCTCATTGGTTCTTGCAGAAGCTCAAACGTGCTGCGTAACACGAGAATGGACCTCATTGGTTCTTGCTGAAGTTCAAACGTGATGCGTAACACGAGAATGAACCTCATTGGTTCTTGCAGAAGCTCAAACGTGCTGCGTAACACGAGAATGAACCTCATTGGTTCTTGCAGAAGCTCAAACGTGCTGCGTAACACGAGAATGAACCTCATTGGTTCTTGCAGAAGCTCAAACGTGATGCGTAACACGAGAATGGACCTCATTGGTTCTTGCTGAAGCTCAAACGTTGTGCGTAACACAAGAATGAACCTCATTGGTTCTTGCAGAAGCTCAAACGTGATGCGTAACACGAGAATGAACCTCATTGGCTCTTGCTGAAGCTCAAACGTGCTGCGTAACACGAGAATGAACCTCATTGGTTCTTGCAGAAGCTCAAACGTGATGCGAAACACGAGAATGAACCTCATTGGTTCTTGCTGAAGCTCAAACGTGATGCGCAACACGAGAATGAACCTCATTGGTTCTTGCAGAAGCTCAAACGTGCTGCGTAACACGAGAATGAACCTCATTGGTTCTTGCTGAAGCTCAAACGTGATGCGCAACACGAGAATGAACCTCATTGGTTCTTGCAGAAGCTCAAACGTGATGCGTAACACGAGAATGAACCTCATTGGTTCTTGCTGAAGCTCAAACGTGCTGCGTAACACATGAGAATGAACCTCATTGGTTCTTGCTGAAGCTCAAACGTGCTGCGTAACACGAGAATGAACCTCATTGGTTCTTGCTGAAGCTCAAACGTGCTGCGTAACACGAGAATGAACCTCATTGGTTCTTGATCGTCAACCGAACATGCTTGAGCTTCCGTCTACTATAACTGATGTGTAAGTTAATGAATGTTTATATGTGAATAAAAGCCTAATTTCAATCTGTTCATCATATAAAGCGATCGAGTCTCTTCAGAAAATTTGGACTAAACTGCTCAATTCAAATGGATTAAATTTATTTTCTCTTTATGAACTTTTTGAAGAGTACAGAATGTTTTAAGATTTCATCAAAAAGAGCTTCATTTGTGTGGTCTTCAAAGTCTGATGGGTTTGGGAAGACATGAGGGTGAGTAATTAATGACAGAATTTCATGCTTGAGTAAACTATTCCTTTAACTCTTTACATCATCATGGAAACAAACTTTATACAACTGTATTTTGGCTAGATGGTGAATAAACATACAGTACATTTAAGTATCACACATGCCGTCACATTTACATCATTAATTAGATCTTCTCAAACACACAAAACCAAGACAATACCTTTTCTGTTTATAGGTAAGCATGGCTTCAGAAATAGGGAACTGGTGGGAGAGATTCGCTCCAGCCAGATACTGTGAGACGCGTCCGGCCACATCAATATTATCTGTGGACATTTTCAAACATCACTCGCTTTAAGGCACAGTATCAAATCAGACAATAAAGGCATCAAATCATATTTGAAGAGCCCATATTACCAGACGCTCTAACCTGAAGTGGGAGCTTCTAACCTCCCGAAAATGTCCCGCCATCCTGCGTCCATGAAGATGTTACAGAACTTACTGTCAAATGTTGAGATGTATTTGGCCAGTGGATGACAACCTTTCAAAAACAAAGTACATTTTGCTCACATCGAAGTAATACCACATAATAAAAGGATTGTCTTTCACATAAGACTGCAGTCCAAAATAAACACTCGCTAAGCACTAGATATGACTACAAATTGGCTTTAGCCCATAAATAATATCACCCGCTGGGTGGAATCTCTAGTTTGAACATAATACAGGGTTTAATTGAATTGTTCAAATCCTCCCATTAAGCTGCGAAAACTAAAATATGAAAAAATATTCATTAGATTAGATTAACTAGATTAGATTAAATACACTACTGTGTGTTTATAATAATTACGAATGTTTTAATGTTTTTGAATTTAAATGTTTTTGAAAGAAGTCTCTTCCGCTCACCAAGGCTGCCTTTATTTGATCAAACATACAACAATTTAAAATAGCTGTTTTCTATGTGAATATTGTCACAGACTTTAGTTTGTTTTTCTCAGTCACATGTTCTCCTTTGTCTTGGTTTCCCACCACTCGTTTGTATCCTTGGTTACCGTCATTATGAGTTCTGTGTTTCAGCTGTGTTTGATTTATCATCTCGTTTGTGTTTGCTTTAATAGTTGTACGGTACCCTTGGTCACTCTTTGTCCGGTCACGTCTATGTTAGAGGTTGTTTTGTTTGCCTGCCTGTTTGGATTGAACTGGCCTTTAAACTGGATTATTAAAGGCTTTTGAAACTTGATCATCATCATCTTCTTTTTCTTCCTTCAACCTTGCGTGACAAATATATAGTAAATTGTAATCAACTGTGATCAAAACTGAATTTTCAGCATCATTACTCCAGTCTTCAGAGTCACATGATCCTTTAGAAATCACTCTGCTGATTTGTTGCTTAATTATTATCAATTATTATTGGGGCTCAAATATTAATAATATTAAGTTCTTATTATTATAAATGTTGAAAACAGTTGCTGCTTAATATTTTTGTGGAAACTGTGATACATTCTTCGATGAAAAGACAGTTAAAAAAAGTCTTGAAATCGTTTTGAAATGTCTTTAATGTCACCTTTTAATCAATTTAATATGTCCTTGCTGAATAAAAGTATTAGTTTTAATTAATTAATTTAAAAAAAATCTTACCCCAACCTTTTAAATGGTACTGCATCACGTTTTCCACCAAAAATATGAAGCAGCATCAACATTGATAATAATCAGAAATGTGTCTTGAGCATCAGATCCTCATATTAGAGTGATTTCTAAAGGATCATGTGACACTGAAGACTGGAGTAATGATGCTGAAATCCAGCTTTGATCACAGGAATAAATTACAGTTTAACATTATATTCACATAGAAAACAGCTATTTTAAATTGTGATAATATTTTACAGTATTACTGTTTTTACTGTGTTCTCGATCAAATAAATGCAGCCTTGGTGAGCAGAAGAGACTTCTTTCAAAAGCGCCAAACTTTTGACCGGTAGTGTATATTTTTGAGAGTAATTGTAAGAGTTATGTATGTTTTTGAGAGTTAATTTTGCGGTGCGCTTCAGATGCTTTATTCTGCTTACCGACAGGAATGATCAGGAAACGAATGTAGCTCAACCAATCAGGCGTCTTGTTGGCGAGTTGCTCCACAAAGCAGCGGAGGACCGTGCTGAGGTAACTCTGATCGCCCGCCACTGCCACTTTAATGGTTGGTGGTGTTTGTGCATTACAGTTGCAGCTGTATGAGATTTACAAAATAACACAAGATACTCAAGTTCTCACTAAGACAAAATAAGAACTTCTAATAAAGAAAGCTAGGGGTTATTCTTGTATTGTGAGTGGACAGTGAGGAATTTGAGTGGCCTTACAATCGTTGAATCCTGGTGACGATGGTGTTGAAGGCGGCCTGAACGTCTGCGGGGGAAACGGTAGACACAATAGGCTGCTTGTGCTCCTGAAGAATCTCATTCAAATACTGCCACACAAACACAGGTCACGGGTCAGAGAGCAGCACAAGGGAAATTGTGAGCACGGCAAAAAGGAAACAAGTTATGAGGACTGCGATGTACATAATGGCTATTCCAGAGGTACACGTCTGCCTCAGGGAAAGACACATGTCCAAATAAATCCAAACAGACAAGACAAGTGATAAAAAACACTTTGTGTCCCGCGGTTAATGCGTCAGCCCTGTTACCATCATAACCAGCTCTTATTAAAATAATGTACGAGTCAATAAATCAAACAGTGAACTCTGGGACAAGCAAATCAAGGACAAGTCTCCTCTTTTCTCTTTTTAATATTATGTAATCACATGTATGTGTCACACATCGGCAAAGCATGGTGTAGGTAACAGGTCGGACGAAGAAGATGAATACAAAATAGACTTTATTAACAGAAGGATAAACTGTAACCAAACTTAGCAAACACATTAACGAGAACCAACAAAGAGAACAGAAACACAGGCGAATATATACCAAGTGAAAACAAAGATGATTGGCTAAACACAGGTGTTACAAACGAGGAAACTGACGAGTAACCATGGAGTCAAACTAGAACGTAATGAGCCCATGAAAGAGAAACTAACTAACCTTAATTGTTGCAGTATGTATGTACTGTATGTGTATATATATACATACACACACATTTATATATATATATTATATATATATACATACGGTATAATTTAATTGTATGCAATCATATGTGTATATACATATCTGTCAAACTCAGGTTGAGGGAGAAGATTAGACGTGACAAGCAGATCTATTAGCAGCTTAACTTTAATTAAACAACACAAGAGAGGAGTAATAAACTAGAATCACGTACCAGTGTGTACTCAAACACAACCAACACCAGACAATGAACACAGAGAACTGAAGGTCTTATATACACAAGATAACGAGGTGAAGCCAGAGGGACGAGGAAGCCCAGTGGAGCTGCGAGGACGGCGGTCCCTAGTGGAGCTGAGGGGGCGAGGAGCCAAGGTGGAGCCAGAGGAATGAGGAAGCCCAGTGGAGCTGCGAGGACGGTGGTCCCTGGTGAAGCTGATGGGGCGAGGAGCCAAGGTGGAGCCAGAGGAACGAGGAAGCCCAGTGGGGCCACGAGGACGGCGGTCCCTGGTGGAGCTGAGGGGGCGAGTAGCCAAGGTGGAGCCAGAGGGATGAGGAAGCCTAGTGGAGCTGCGAGGACGGTGGTCCCTGGTGGAGCTGAGGGGGCGAGGAGCCAAGGTGGAGCCAGAGGGATGAGGAAGCCTAGTGGAGCTGCGAGGACGGTGGTCCCTGGTGGAGCTGAGGGGGCGAGGAGCCAAGGTGGAGCCAGAGGAACGAGGAAGCCCAGTGGAGCTGCGAGGACGGTGGTCCCTGGTGGAGCTGAGGGGGCGAGGAGCCAAGGTGGAGCCAGAGGGATGAGGAAGCCTAGTGGAGCTGCGAGGACGGTGGTCCCTGGTGGAGCTGAGGGGGCGAGGAGCCAAGGTGGAGCCAGAGGAACGAGGAAGCCCAGTGGAGCTGCGAGGACGGTGGTCCCTGGTGGAGCTGAGGGGGTGAGGAGCCAAGGTGGAGCCAGAGGAACGAGGAAGCCCAGTGGGGCCACGAGGACGGTGGTCCCTGGTGGAGCGGAGGGGGCGAGGAGCCAAGGTGGAGCCAGAGGAACGAGGAAGCCCAGTGGAGCTGCGAGGACGGTGGTCCCTGGTGGAGCTGAGGGGGCGAGTAGCCAAGGTGGAGCCAGAGGGATGAGGAAGCCTAGTGGAGCTGCGAGGACGGTGGTCCCTGGTGGAGCTGAGGGGGCGAGGAGCCAAGGTGGAGCCAGAGGAATGAGGAAGCCCAGTGGAGCTGCGAGGACGGTGGTCCCTGGTGGAGCTGAGGGGGCGAGGAGCCAAGGTGGAGCCAGAGGGACGAGGAAGCCCAGTGGGGCCACGAGGACGGCGGTCCCTGGTGGAGCTGAGGGGGCGAGTAGCCAAGGTGGAGCCAGAGGGATGAGGAAGCCTAGTGGAGCTGCGAGGACGGCGGTCCCTGGTGGAGCTGAGGGGGCGAGTAGCCAAGGTGGAGCCAGAGGGATGAGGAAGCCCAGTGGGGCCACGAGGACGGCGGTCCCTGGTGGAGCTGAGGGGGCGAGTAGCCAAGGTGGAGCCAGAGGGACGAGGAAGCCCAGTGGGGCCACGAGGACGGCGGTCCCTGGTGGAGCTGAGGGGGCGAGTAGCCAAGGTGGAGCCAGTGGGACGAGGAAGCCCAGTGGAGCTGCGAGGACGGCGGTCCCTGGTGGAGCTGAGGGGGCGAGTAGCCAAGGTGGAGCCCGAGGAACGAGGAAGCCCAGTGGAGCTGTGAGGACGGCGGTCCCTGGTGGAGCTGAGGGGGCGAGTAGCCAAGGTGGAGCCAGAGGGACGAGGAAGCCCAGTGGAGCTGTGAGGACGGCGGTCCCTGCTGGAGCAAGAGGGACGAGGAAGACCAGTGGAGACACGAGGACGCCGGTCCCTGGTGGACCTGAGGGGGTGAGGAGCCATAGTGGAGCCGACTGGTCAATGGGCCGAGGTAGAGTTAAGGGCTTGATGGCCCGAGGCACAGCTAAGGAATCCACTCGCCACGGCAGAGCTGGTGGACTTAAGACCCTAGGTGGATATGAATTACAGGGTAGAGTCAACAGAGGAGGAGAAGAGGGACTGGAGGGAGCCAGCGAAGGCGGGGCCGAAGGACTGACTGCTTTTAGCCAGAGAAGGGCGATGAACACTTAACGCTAGGCAATGAAACTGACTGGGATCAGCGAAGGAAGATCGTCCTCATCTAGCTCGGCTAAAACATCCAGTGGCACATTTGTAGAAGCTGGCTCAGTCATCTGGTCAGACTGGGCGTCGGTCTTCGACTCGTTGCAGGCATAGGCTCTGGCATAGGGTCCATGGTGGGCGTTAACATTGGCTCCATATCTGCAGTGGGTAAATACTACTTCTCCGTGGTGGGAGTGGGTTCTGGTTCTGCAGGGTTTGTGATGGACGAGAACATCATGGGGGTAAGCACATTGCAAACACTGCAGAATGGCCTCTCTCCAAGTTCCTCTCTTAAAGTCAGGTAAGTTCAGGGGGCTGTAATAGTTTGCCCCAATCCAAAACAAGGATTTCAATAATCCAATATAGGGAGATCTTCACGGGCAAGGGAGATGAATTCTGCTGCTCGATCCATATTCTTTCTGTTAGTCTAGTGTTCAGTCACACTCGGGTTGAGGTAGAAGATGAGACGTGGCAAGCGCATCTATTAGCAGCATAACTTTAATTAAACAACACAAGAGAGGGGTAATGAACGAGAATCACATAACAGTGTGTACTCAAACACAACCAACACCAGACAATGAACACAGAGAACTGAAGGTCTTATATACACAAGATAACGAGCTCTGTGCACTTATTAATAACGTAATGAATAACCATGACCTCAAAGAATGAGTGGGAACACAGGACACAAAGAAAAGCAAACTAACAGTATTTGACAACGAAACCAAAACATAATATAAACATACATAAACACACACATACTATTTATATATAAATATATATATAATTTAATAAGCATATATAAAATGGAATGAATATATATATCTGAACCAGTTTACCATGATTGTATAAAGTACAAATGATTATTGAAAACTGGAAATTTGTAGAATAATGAGCATTAAATTCTCCTTAAAAGTAGCTTAGTTTTTAAGTTATTGCTAAATAACCTGTTAAAATTAACTGACGTGAACAGTCGTATTCCAACTAAGGAAGTGGACTAGTTGATTCCTCATTCAACTAGAAAGATAAAACACTACTAAACACTAACATATAACATTAACACACTAATTTCCTACAAAATTGGCTAAACATCTTTCAAATTGGATTTAAAAATCACCTGTTTTTGGAATAACCCTAAAATACACAAATAATGGTATTGGTAATTGGTTTTGTTAAAAATATTAAATCAAACATAATTTTTTTTACAAAATATCAAAACAAGAAACATTTCATTGAGATGCAAAATTACAAAAACATATTCGGAACACAATGTACCAAATTTAGTAAGGATCGCACTTTAAACAAAACAAATATATGCCAACAGGGTAAGAATAATAAACTTATTTCAAGATATATTCTATGAAAACAAGTCATATCTCATTACACAATTTTAATTGTCAAGTACATGTATATTGTTTTAAGGATGTTTCAGTATGTTGATTTGAAAACAAATCCCAAATATATAAAAAACTAAAAAACAAATTCATGGTAGGAAACACGCACCTGCCCCTGCCAGTCTGTAGTGTTAATAAGGATGATATTCTCTGGCAGATGTTCGTCAGAGTTCAGGATCTGATTGAGCTGATCGTACACTGATTTCCTCGGGACCTGCGACGAGAAGGACGTTGGGTCAGAAAACGAGCACTAATTTGTCTTCCAATATGTTCTTTGTTCTTCTAGCGTCAGGCACAAACACTTACACAAACCTGTGTGATGAGTCTGGAGTCTGGCGAGGTTTCGCTCTCGATGCTGCTGGTGCGGTCGCTCTGAGCTTTAGAGTTCTGCCTGTCCTTCATGGACGTGCTGCGCGGACGCCGCTGGAGCTTAGCCTCTGCTTTACTGGAGAGAGACATACTGTATTACAACTGCTGGAAGGAGAGCGGCCAGCACATCCCCAACCCACCTACAGCCTGATAAACCTCAAGAGCTCCTGCAAGACTTTTTGGACTTGAGCTGGAAAACCAAGCTAAAGGCATGTTTGTCTTAAGGTGTATTCACACCTGCCTTGTTTGGTTCGATTGAATCGAACTCTAGTTCGTTTCCCCCCTTGGTGCGGACCTTTTGGGCAGGTGTGACTACAGCAATGGAACTCGGGTGCGGACCAAACAACCGAACCGAGACCCAGCTGAAGAGGTGTCTCGGTACGGTTCCAAACGAACTCTGGTACGGTTCGTTTACGGTGTGAACATGAACCGACCCAACTGCAAGAAAGCACTGCGCCTTTGAGTTAACAGGCTTCCGTAGTCGGAGTTGCGTTATGGGAAAGTGATCTGTTGTAGCCTACTACATTACATCTGTTGCGCGTCTTTCTGCGCGCCGTGTGTGCATCATTGGAATGGAATGAATGAGTGTGTGCATCAGGACATTCACATACAGAGCGTTCTCTTTAGTCTAATCGCGCATAGATGCTAAAAAGAGCATTTGCAGTTCATATAATGTAACGATAGTTACAATACAAGGATGATACTGCGTTCATTTACGTTAAGCCTTTTTTGCACTTCCTGATTTCCCTACTTGAGAATCCTTGTCCAATGAATGGACGACCTTAGCACACGTGTGGTTTTGTTTACACATTTTGGTTCACTTGCAAAAAGAGCAGTGTGAAAGCGAACCGTAAAAAAAAAAAAAAAAAAAAATGTATTTGGTCCGGACCAAAGCAAGCGAACTATCGGACTTTCCTGGTGCAAATACACCCTTAGGCTGTGTTCACACTTGTAGTTCAGTTCTTTTGGTCCGGACCAAAAAATAAAATGATAGAGTTAGTGCCAAGTGCTTGGCATACCAATGTAACAACTGAGACCAATCAGACACAATTATTTGTTATGGTTAACAAATAATCTTTAAAGCTCACTCTGGGACCTGTGATCAGATAAGTTGGTTTTATTGCTGTCAAAAATGTGGTCAAGACAGAGAAGACAGAAACAGACTTTAAAACAGACTTTCCTGCATTAATTTATTGATGAACTGATTAACATGAAATTAACACGCATTCCAGAACATTTTGTGAATGATTTACTGTCTTATGTTGTGTCCTTTAATACTATTATCTGTTGATACTATTATCCCTTCGATACTATGTATTTTATTATAGAACCAACGGTCAATGTAACCTCAATTATACCACGTTTGGTCTCTATAAATTGGTACTTTGAAGATCGAAATGATTGTGTACATGATTTGCCGGTAGCTGCCCAACATATTAGTATTACAAGAATCTTCCCTAGTTGTCTTCATCAGAAACCAACACGCTTAGGACAAAGACTCATAAATTAACCCCAGAGTAACTTTCCCGCTCTGGAATTTCCACCCTTCTCATTGGTCAAGCAAACCCGGAGAGGTGGGGCCTTTCTCGGGCTTTATTAGAGTCCAATTCACAGCGACTCCCCCTCTTGTTTCCTGGTTCTCGACTGCGGGTTGATGTCTGTGGGGACCCCCACCGGGCTGTGACCACGGCCTGCTATGCTTTCACTCTCCCAACAGAGTCAGACTGTAGTTTCTTCAATCCAACTCAGAGGAAAACTGCAACTTTGCCATTACTGAATGGGCGATCATCAACTCTTCCGACTTCCTCACTCCTTGGTTACCTTCGTGGCCTCTCCGGCCCAGGGCCAGCAGGCCTTAACTCACAACCAGCCATGTGCTCATGGAGAGAGAAAACCCTTCATCCAGAACAGTCGAACTACCCATGCAAGTTCATCATATCTTCATCCAAAGGAGAAGAAAACGATTGCAACTTCAATGTTTGACACTCAAAGGAAACATCAACATTTTTCCAAGATCTTCAAGAAATGTGTCTGCTGCAAATACCATGCAAGTACGTATATACATTTAATGAGGTACTCTAAAAATGATAAGCTGATGGTTCTTTTCATTTTTGAATGGATCTTTCCCATAGTTCCATTTCCTGCTTCCGATTCCATCCTTTCACTCACCCTTTTACCCATGAATGTAAATGTTTAGAGTTATGTTTGTGATTTAGTTAATAAAACTTGTGCACAATATGTATTTGGTTCTGATTCACTGCTTGCAGACAAAGTCTCTTTTACGATCTTGATCTTGTTACATGCTCAAAGCGCTGTACATGCTAAGAAATAATTATTTTTCTGTGGCCATGGAAGATACCCTCTTCTTAGAATAAATGAATAATCAAAAGAGTTCGTTGGACGAACTGATTAATTGATTGTAATATTAATTTAGCCACATCAAGTTAATCCAATTAACTGACCCAAATATTCATAAATAATCTAATCATAACAAGTTTTTATTGATTATTAATATTTCATAGAGCTAATTTGTTACACCAAGTTCACACTTGGCATGTTTGGTTGGATTAAAACGAACCCCTGCGATTGCTCTGTAGTGCGGTTCATATGACTAAGTGTGAACGCTGCCATCCAAACCCTGGTGCACCAAACAAGCGGACCGAGACGCTAAAAAGATGAGCCAAATGAACCAGGCGAACCGAACTACAAGTGTGAACACAACCTTATTCAAATGAACCGCTCTAACAGAGCAATCACACCAGAGTTAGATTTAATCCAACCACACCTGCCAAGTGTGAAGGAACACACCCTTAGATCATGGTACCTGGTTTCTAGATGGTCCACACTGGTTTGGGTGGAATAAATGTAGAGTATTCAACTCATCGCAGAAGGACGCTTGCTGCTTCCAGTAGTCTTTTCAGTCTGAACTAAGATCAGTAGCTCTATAATACACATTTTTTGGCCTCGTCTGCCTCCCGAGGCTCTACAAAAGAAGCTCAAAAGAGGCGAATCGTTGATGCGCTGCTGCGTTCCAGATTCACTAAAGTGTCTGTGAGCCCCTCGCTCGGGGACTGAGTCTTAATGAGCTCATTAGCCAATGCAAACACACACATATGCCGTCTAGCAGAGGCCTGTGAGAACAACCGGCTAGAAAACGACATGGAAGAACAGACGTGATGCACCACTAGAGAAATATAACAGATGGGTGTTTCTTCAGCTCAGCGCTTTCTGTCCTGTGGACTTTTAGAAAATAAACTTGCTTAAAACGTACTTTTCTGTACGACTATCCTTTAATTCAGCGGTGAAAACACGCGCCTACGAGAGGTTGTGATAAAAAACAGATGGAAAAGGAGGACAGGAAGGCGAGAGTGTGTTACCTAGGCGACATGAGTGTCTGCGACTCGGTCTTGCAGAGTTTGCCCACCGTTCCTGCTAGTTTCTCTGCGCCGGCGTCCCAGCTCATGTTGGCGTCACATGTCGCCTCGTCCTCCGCCGGCTCCTGCGTGCAGAGACAAACATCAGCCGGGAACACGCATCACTCTCTTCAAGGGCTCGCAATCGGCATGTTGCTGTGGAGACGGCCACTTAGCCACAAAGCAGAATCTGAAAGAGTGTGTGTGTGTGTGTGTGTGTGTGTGTGTGTGTGACTTCCACACACTAGATACTGTTATAACTGACTAAGTGTGTGACACAGACCTTAGCCTTGAATTATCAGCAGTCAGTGCACAAAAACAGAAAAACACGTTTTGAAAGAAGGATGGAGAGTTGGATATTGTCATTGTTTGAAGAAAATTATGTTTGCAATATGTTTGATGAAGGGAGAAACTGTGGAGCTGCAACCCTGGCTTGTGCAGGTGATTCATTGGGTCAAATAAAACCTGCTTTACTGTCACTACTTTTTTTACCTTTTCATGCGTTATTGATCGTGTTAACTTTGACAGCCCTAAATTCAACACAAGAGAGATTTTCGTCACACACAGTATGAGTTTTTTCTCCTCCTTTTGATTGACATTAGAATGTCATAATATAATATAATATTATATTATACTTTGACAAAACGTATATATATATATAAAATGATACATTTTGTAAATACATTATGTGCATAAATTATAAAATATTAAAAAAAAATATTATTATTAAAATATAATTAAAAAATATATTATTATTTTTCATTGGAGAACGGCTGAAACTAGCAGCTTTATGTGCCTAAAATGCTGGACATTAATACAGAAGTTGTCACTGACCGCGGCGGCGGAGTCCAACACTGTCGGGTCATCCGGATATCGTCCACACACTGCTCTGTTCTTGTCCACTGTTAACAGATCACCAGTCTGCACACACACACACACACGGTCATGCTTCATGGGAATAGGTGGTCACTCCTGAACTCTTTAGGTTCAGGTTCCTCATCCATGGTAATAGAGACTTTATCAGTTTGAATTCGGACTGATTTGTGGCTTCTACAGAAGAAGATATCATCACTTGGATTATGTGTCTGTGTCTAAGAGTTTACACACTGTCATACAAAAAAAAAAAATCCTATGGAGACAATGAATGGGATTATAATATTTTCTGACGACGGCAAAAAGCACTTACTACGTATTTTGTCAAAATCGAGTTATGAGATAAATGGGTCTATTAGACTGTGATCTGTCCATCAACAGATGGATTTGGCTTGACTTTGCTCAGATTTAGAAAGAAAAAGTGTAAAAATTTGTATAAAATCAACCAAAATTTAATATAAGGCATGTTTCTCAGTTTCAGTGTTGGTGTGTACTGTTTAGCCTTTTTAGGGCAGAATAATAGTATAATTGGAGTGTGTGTGTGTGTGTGAGACGTACAGTGGAGGGCGGCTCTCTCGGTTGGCTCTTCTGACTGTGCAAACTGCCGATCTCCGTCTGTGAGCTGGAGTGAGACATTCCCTCAAAGAACGGCCTTGAGTGAAAAAACATACACACGTTTACAATAGAAAAACACTCTACGAGCCAAAAGTTGTGTTTCATGGTCAGCGATACAGTATCAGTCAAGTGTTTACACTGGAAGGCATTCATTTTCAATGAGAGTCAATGAGACAGTTGGCGATGTTCATTGAAATCGTTCATCTTGTACAAACACTTTCTCATATTTAGCAACAAAATATCCCAAGAGCTGGTTTTGAAGGCATGGCCACTGCAACCAACAACACAGTGCGAGCCGACGGGAAAATGTGGAAATAATGGAAATAATTCTGGGATCAAAGTGGAAATTTGGAAATTGCTCTAAGCCAGCCAATCAGATGCGATTATGAAAATCGCTTGCCATTTTAGTGTTTAATATCAGATTAGAACTGTGATCAAAGACTTTAGATGTGCAAAGACGGTGGAATGAATGGGAGAAAGTGCAGCCTGCAATATGGCGGAATAAGTCCCGCCTCCTGAATAAAAAAAACAATCACTGATTGGTAAAGTAATTGTGCAATGCAAACTCACGCTTAGGACTGCAGATGCAGCCTGAACAAAGCAGTTTTTTGCCATTATTTGAGCGCTTTAAACTAAATTTATGAGACAGTTGATGTCAGATTTCATTGGTGATTTCAAATATGAAATTGAATCGAAAGATTTGGAGAATTTGATGTTTCCCCACTCAGATAGGAGCTTAAATCACTTGCACGACTGAAACAGCTGCCGAGAGGAAGTGATGGGGGAAACAAAGCTTTTCAAACATTTGAATCAATGTCTTCGCAAAATGATTGACTGTTTGGAGGCGGTGGAAACGCCACATGTTGGTCCTGTTGCTCAGAACAGTGTACACGCAGTGTAAACAGTGTAGAAATGTGTAAATTTAGTAAAATTGTAGGGCTTGTTTTGTTTATTTTATTTAGAGCTTGGTCAATCATACCAATAAGAGACTTTTAACTACAACTCTTCATGTTTATTATGCACAATGTGTCATTAAATGTCTACAAATTTATAAAATTGATCTGAGATCAGGTAAAAATCATATAGACAGTGGATCATGGGTTCAAGCGGCAAACCATTAAAATATCTAAACATTTCAAAACCGTAATGACATAAAGCCTTGTTTACTGAAACCACGAAACTTTGACAGTTTGAAACCGCGCACTGAATCACTTGTTCGGAAAAAATGATTAGCCAAAGGTTTTGAAACGTATTTCGAAAGCGACCATCACTGACGACAGCCTTTTCAAAGATGGCCGCCGTGTGAGGTGACCTTGCTTTGACTCATGACTCTTACTTTAGTTTGGGTTTGGGAGTGCTGAGAAGACTCTCGTTGTCCTCCATCTCTGGGCCGCTGTCGCTCTGGTTGTAGACCTCCAGACTGTCATACAGGAGATCCAGATCTTCAACCTCCTGCGTCTGATCAACCGGATCCGAGTCCAATACCTTTTGAAACCAGCACAACAGAAGCTAAATGTAGATATGTATAAAAATGTAAATCTCAGCTACAAAAAAATCAGTTTTTTATATTATAATAAGTAACTAAAAATTATTAGAATAGCTTAATGAAATTATTTGTGTGGGAAAATGTGAATTTTTGTCGTGAGATTCACCCATTTAAAAAAGAAACAACAACATGTACCGAAAGCACAAAGGCACTGAATGCAACCTTTCTCAGCCTGAATTTGCACAGGACAGGACAATCACCAGTAATGACCCATTCATACTATAAAGTGCATCTCCTCAGCTGAGACTAAAACACAGAAAGAAGTTCCTTGTGGAAAAGAAAACAATATAATCTCCTAATAATGAGAATTTACTAGAAATTACACTATTTTGTTTCTTTTCCAGGATGATAAAAAGTTGTTCAACAAACAAGTTAGTTCATAGCTGATCCGCTCATCCTTCAGTGGACATTCTACGTCCCAGGAATTTAACTTCTTAGACTCTGTCAGACTTTACGTTAGCATTGTTTTGCTCCACTAAAAAAAAAATCTGGGGCTGTATTCACAAAGAATTTTATCTTACCACTAGGAGTACTCCTAAATCGCACTAAAATATTTTAGCTAGGAGTTTTCTCTTAAAAGTTATTCACAACGCCTTTCAGACCTACTCTTAGTAAGGTAAAATGACAACTCCTAAACTAAAGAGTGAGTCTTCGTTGCTATGGATGACGTCACTTCTCATGCACGAGCTTCCTCGCAATGATCACGGTGATTGGTTGTTAGATGACAGGGCCATCATGCGGAACATAACACAGACGCAACAAATCATGGAATTACGACATCTAAATATGTCTGTGTCCTACACTAAATAATAATAGTAATGTCATCGAAATGCATATATAATGACATGTTTGTGCATGCCCCAGTGAAGTGTAATTCTAAAAAGGCAGAGAGAGAGAAAAGTCGTGAATTAAATTAAATTAAATCAAATCAAGGTAATACCCCAATGAAAACCGCCACTTGCCTAATAATGAAAAACGACACTTGCATTAACACTTGCTTGGTTAATTGACATCCTATATTAGCCTAAATAGACTACTTAAAGCAAGGAAATCTTGCTCCTATTGAAGTAATGTAATAGTTGAATGATGGTGGATTATGAACTCGCCAAAACGGAAAAGAAAGCCCAACTGGACGCAGGATCAGTTACTGCTGCTGGCCCAGTTGGTGCAAAAAAAAAAAAAAAAAAACATAATAAAAGGGAAATTTGGCACTGGGATATCAAGCAAAACTAAGCGCGAGACATGGGAGAGGGTTTGTTTGCAGATCAATGCAGCGTTCCCGCTTGTGTCGCGGACCCCGGACGACTGCGAGAGGCGCTGGTGTGCGCTACAATCATTTGTGAATTGGTCTTAGTGAGTTAGGAGTCCTCTCGACTTCTTTTAAGCTGTCCCAGACTTAGCTGCTACTTTTAGGCCTAAAATGCTTTGTGAATTTCTCTTAGTGAAAAAAATTAGGAGTCCTAAAGTTAGGAGTGACACGCCCATTATTTTTAGGAGTTGCTCCTAAATTCGCCAGTTAGGAGCTACTTTTAGCCTTAAAATTCTTCGTGAATACGGCCCCTGAACAATAACTTGCTCGTGATAGAATACAGCAAAACACCAGAGTGGTTTTACCTAGTTGAGTTTGGATTTTAGTCGAATAGAAATAATCAACTGTGCATCAAGTCAATGCTGTTGTATGTTTTGCCGTGCTACGAATGGTGGTAATTTATTCCTCAATAATAATAAAAAAGAAACTACTGTAACTACTTCCCAACAGGAAAGCTGTGATTGGAAACTCCCCAAAGTCATCGTTTTCCACAGGTTTATGTCACAGGTGTTTTGAAATATGTTACACATTAAGACGCAACCAAAGGCTGTGTCTGAAATCGCCCCCTATACCCTTAAATAGGGCACTATTTGAGGGAACGGCCATTTGTAGTGTTATCCGAAACCATAGTAGACGTTATGGAGTGCACTCATTCAATCCCACAATGCATTGCAGTAACGAGTGTACAACCGATGTACACTTAATGCTAGAGAATACCCATAATGCACTGTGAGAGTCGAGTACCGAATGAATTCCCACGTCTGACCAGAAGATGGCGCCACAGCCGAATCATCCATCCATTACAAACCGCTGGTCCAATGTGGCTACAGCGTAATATCATACGGGTATAAATCCTTTTTAATTGGTTATTAAATTGTTTAATTAAGGTTTGCACATGCTAGTTTCCATAGCAGAGTTCAGGATAAATGTTTTCTTTGCTACAGGAGCTGCCAGTTTGCAAACTTACAAATGATTATTAAACAGCTCAAACTATGCAAAAGCGGCAATTCACTCACTCGTTTTCATCCACCGCTTCAAGTGCACTATATTAGTGGAGTAATGTAGGGAATCGTGAATGAGGGTATAGGAGGTGATTTAGGACACAGTCAAAGTGAGCTATTGCACTGACAAGCCCATGTTGGCAATGCTACTCAAGGCAACTGCCAATGCAACAAATCTGTGTCATCACCCTGAATCAGGAAGTGGCTGGACTGATAGCCAAATAAATCTGGATCCTTTCCTGTAGGGCTTGGATAACTGAGTCAAGGCAAGAGGACGATGAAGTCAAGGAGTCAAACAGCTACCAACTAACAAGCTTAGACTCTAACAATGAGACTGCAAAGCTGCTTAAATCTTGCCTGTAGGCTATATAAGCAAGTATGACCTAAGTCATCATGGCCTCATGTGTCCTCTCAGAGCTAAACAGTCAGTTTAGTTTTAGAAGAGGTCTACATCACATCTTACACTGCAAAAATCAAAGCTCCTCTCACATTTCAGCTACTAGATCAATCATTGCCAAGTACCAGGACTCTTTTATAAAGGTTGAATTTTATGGCTGAAGGGATTTTTGTGATTCAAAGCACAGGACCGCAGAGTAGAGAGTGCTGAACTTCAGGCAAACATGTATTTCTCTCTGTTGTAACATATAAAAGACAAGAAGAAAATCTCACCTCATCAGATACTTTGAATCTCTTCAGGAGAGCAACAAACTTCTGCTTGAAATTGGGTTGCTACAGAGAGATTGAGAGAATATGCCATCAAAAACGTCTGGGCTGCGGCTGTTCAGTGCAATCCAGTTTACAGTAACAAAGAAGTATGGTACATAAAACAGTAAAATTATGGGGGGTTTTTTTAGTTAAAACAGTAAAATAGATAAAAGCAAAAGACGAAACGAAAAATATCTGGATTTACACTTTTCGAAAGACAATTATTGTGTCTTTAACCACTATGTACTTGCATTAAAAAACAAACTCATTGTGTTCATGCTGTATTGCAAAATAATTTAGCTGGTGAGGTTAAGGATAGGTGTGGTTATATGGAAGTAGGTTTAAAGGTGGGTGGAGTAGATTCAACTACCGTATAATTATATGTGTAACTACAGAAATTAATAACAGATGTAATTACATGTGTTTTTTTTTTTAAATATAAGTACAACGTGGAAACGTATGTACACAATAAGTGAATTGTATCAACGATTAATTTAAATATTTAGTGCATAGCAGTTGTAGACACTTAATATAAAGTGGGTCTCAATTTTTCATAATGTGTTTCAGATTGGCAAATCTACATTAGTGTTGTTCTGGTTTATGCACTGATCCTGGGTTAACACTTGTGTTCCCAATGGAGAGCTTAGTTCAAGAGGATTAGAACATCGCCTTCTATGACCTTTTGTGAACTAGATAACACTAAACCAAACACCAAACACCCCGTTAAGGACACACAGCTAATTTGTCTCTGTTTCTATCTCGCTGCCTGAAGTGGCTTGTGTCAAGACAATAATTCCAGGATAATAGATTGGGTCATCTAACAGTATCGCTGTGACAATGAAGAACTCATTGTGTGTTGATGAATTTACTAGTGCTCAACCAACATGAATTTTGTAATGGCATGATATGCAGATACCAATAGAGAACAGGGTGGCCAATATGATATGATCCAATACATAATACAACTGAATTATATCAGCAATCAGAACTGGTATCATATCAGTTAGCAGAATTGATATACAAAGACTTTTTACAAATGGTGTTCCTCAGGGCTCGATTCTGGGTCCGATCCTTTTCTGCAAGTGTTGATTAAGTGCAGAGGGAGTTTATCTGTACATACCCGGGTCATAGATGTAGTTCTAATCATTTTCCTTCGAGATTTTTTGGGCTTCCGCTGAACATCATCATCCTCATCATAAAGATCCTAAAACAGAAATTCAGGAAATTTCAATAGATTTTATTAGGTGGCAATCCTTTCTAAACATTCAAGGGGAAATTCACTAACCATGTTGGGCCATGCAAAATATACCCAATCGGTAACACTTTACTTGAAGGTGTGTTCATAAGACTGACATGACACCTTCATAATCATGACATGACACATGTCATGAATATGAAGGAGGTTTATGACAACTGTCATTAAGTGTCATTCGCTCAATTAGGACATTTTTAATGCAAATATGACATTGTTTGAGATGTCTTTGTTATGACAACTTGACATAAACCAATACATCATAACCTGTCAGTGTCTTTGTCATGACAACTTGACATTATCAAGAACATACATTTTCATAAATATGTCATAAACATGACATAGCAGATTAATTATCAAACTTAAGAAACCACTTAGCTTTATGGGTTAACATCACATTAAACTTTCATGTGGCTGGTGTTGACATTGGCTGTCATGAGGCCATTATAACTGTGTCATGAATATGTTTCTTGACCTCGACTACAGTGGTACACATTGAATTTGTCATTAAAATGTTATAATGGCTTCATGACAGCCAATGTCAAAACCAACCACATGACAGTTTAATGTAATGTTAACCCATAAAGCTAAGTGGTTTATTAAGTTTGATAATTAATCTGCTATGTCATGTTTATGTTGTTGTCATGACAAAGACACTGACAGGTTATGATGTATTGGTTTATGTCAAGGTGTCATAACAAAGACATCTCAAACAATGTCACATTTTCATTAATATTGTCATAATTGAGCGAATGACACTTAATGACAGTTGTCATAAACATGCATAAAACCTCCTTCATATTCATGACATGTGTCATGTCATGATTATGAAGGTGTCATGTCAGTCTTATGAACACCCCTTCAAGTAAAGTGTTACCAATTCTTCCCACACAGTTTTATTTCAAAATTAACACACTCTATGTGGCACAAACTAATACCAACAAGACCAATGTTATTGACAGACTACATTCATAGTGAAATCAGGGAGTTAAGTAGAAATTTCACCCCTTTTTAAAAATGCTGGGCTTTCTTAGAACAATGATAAAAACAATGTTGGTTAGATCTCCTGACCTGGCCTTGCACAGCGTCATCGCTCGCCTCCTGCTCTGATGAGTAACTATCATCGTCATCTTCAGAATAGTTATCCATATCTGGAGAACGGTCTGCAAAGACACAGAGACATTTAATGACCCCATGACATTTTATTGCCGCAAAAGCTTCAGACATACAGTGCCATCCGACCAACAGAAAAATCCAAAGCTTTAAAATGATTCATTCAAAACATGCAGTAATTTTATAGCTCCACTTTGAGAACACTTGAGCTGCTAAAGCAACTTTCCCTTTTAATGTACCGCAGCATCAGTCACTTTCTCTTTGTGTGTGTTTAAAGAGGATGAATGGGAGGATGTTTGGTGGGAGAGAGAGTTTCCGGGGGACGTTTGTTTTTATTGCAGCTTAATGCACTCAAACTGCCCATTAGCATCTTATGGTCAATGTAATGACTGAGCATAAACAAAGCTACTCACTGATGGAATAATGTAACTGGATATACAGGGTGGTTTGGTGTAGTGGTTAAAGATATGTTCCCTTCCTTCCCATTAAGATGCGGTCACATTTGTGAAAATTTTGATAAATTTCGCAAGCAAGAAAGGTCCATCGTCTGTTGTCAATAGTGTAGATATTCACAATCTCCATTGGAAAATCGTTAACCCTTTACAATAAGGTTCATTAGTTAACATTAGTTCATGTATTTACAAACTAACAATGAGAAATACATTTGTTACAGTATTTATTAATCTTTGTTAATGTTTGTTCATGTTAGTTCACAGTGCATTAACCAATGTTGACAAATCCAACCTTTGATTTTAATGACGTATTAGTAAATGTTGAAATTAACTAACATTAATCATCAATGCTGTAGAAGTATTGTTCAGTCTTAGTTCATTTTAACTAAGGTAGTTCACTAAAGATGAACCTTTCACGAAATTCATGATTGTGTGGATTCCTGAAATCCTATTGGATTCCGCCAATGAAAATTCGCCAAACAACACTAAATGTGACACACCTTTTGAGTCTTTTTCTATTTGGATACATTGACCCATGAGTGTGAGTCACCTGAAGCTTTGGCCTTGGTCTCTGGCTGCCCACTGCCGTCCTCCGGGTCGATGGGTTGACTGGACAGTGAATAAACACTTAGCTCTGCTGCACGCACCGGTGCTTCCTTCACGTTACTGTGGAGTCCTAAAATCTGGCCTCCATCTGTCGGGTGCTGCATCACCTTAAACACAAGCACTCGGAAATAAGTGACACGCCAACAGAGGTATCTGAATATGTGGCCTTCTTGTCCTTGTTTTTCAGTTTCAACTATGACTCCTCTTCATCTGAAAGCCTGAGTTTTGGTCTTTTCAAGGTTGGCATTCCTCATTGAACTCTTGGACTGAGGAATAGTCCCCTAAGGTTTTCTATGGTGAGTCTCTACTGAATATGATTAGCGCTGGAATCTCAGCAGAGAGGAGTCTGGAATTTGTGGGGGTGAAACTGCAGAGAATAACTTTCAGAAAGCTTCACGGCTGAATATAATGTACCAGTAGGTCTACACTCACATAAAGGCCCCCCTCATATCACTCCTGAATAATAGACCTCTTTAAGAACATCGGTCATGAAACAAAAGAACAAGAAAAAATAGTCGCTAATGATCATGAACATGCATTGAGAGAATCTTGCAAATATAAGAGAAGGAACATTTTTGCACTCACTTTGCACTTACTTCTATGTAGCGATGAGTACTCAATCATATTTGCATTTTAATGAGTTAGCGAACTGATACTTTCTCACCCTTCGCAAAATCTATTGGTTTACAGTAAACCTTTTCTATTGCAACTTTTATGTCATGACATTTATAATGATGAAGTTGCAATTTAGTACATTTAAAATATATTAGCTTTAAAAGTGATGCTGAATAACACAATGCAGTTAAAATTATAATCATAATGTAATTTGACATTATTACAAGTGGAGTTTTTAAAAGTGTACTTAAGTGTGTTCAGAAACAGTCATGAAAGTTACTCTCTTAAGTGGCCTTTTATTTCATTAATATTATATTATCTGCGAGTACAAAAAAATGTAATTAGCTGAACTTCAGAGTGCTTTTTTCACCCACTTAAGTAGGAGTTAAGTTCATCTCTATATGCAATTTCATTATTACTTCTATTGTCTTTGAAATGTTTAGTGCTGGATGTACTGATAAGCATATATATATATATATACATACTAAAATATAGTTTTATGGAAAATATCATGTAGGATGACATGATGACATTAAACCCACTTAAGTAGGAGTTAAGTTCATCTCTATATGCAATTTCATTATTACTTCTATTGTCTTTGAAATGTTTAGTGCTGAATGTACTGATAAGCATATATATATATATATACATACTAAAATATAGTTTTATGGAAAATATCATGTAGGATGAATTCAGGTTAATTGGGAAGCAAAACAAAAGATAATTAAAACATAACGATTTAAAAGTGTACTTAAGTGTGTTCAGAAACATAGTCATGAAAGAGTACTCTCTAAAGTGGCCTTTTATTTCATTAATATTATATTATCTGCAAATACAGTTTAAGAATATACTGTATGTATATATTAAATACACATTGCATTCAATACGATTAAATGTACTTCTTTTTTCATAAGGGCCACTACAGCCAAACAGCACTCTGGGTAATCTATGCAGAATGTAAACATCAGCCATTACTGTCAAAGAGCTGGCAAACCACTGGCAATGCATCACTACTAAGCTCTCAGTGCATATGGCTTCTTTAATGTGTGATGTGAGAGAACAAGTATCAACATATTGACCACACATGAAAGCTGTGAGTATGTGCTAATTTTACTACTGGAGAAGGGTCAAATTATAAAGGTCACAGTCTGTCTGACACAAGTTTCAATGAACTGGACACCGGGCTCGAGTGATTCATTTGTCCGTACCTCAGCCATATTAATAACGCCAACAGCCAGCGTCTTGTAGCCCAGAATAGTTCTGTTTTTATAGCGTTTCCTCCTCTGAAGCATGATCTGCAGCCGGTTGGCATCTCTCTTCAGGAAATGTGGGTACTAAAGAAAGGAAGTACGACAGCACAACAGCGATTTGGTGCATATTGTTGCTTCGCATTACATCATTTTCATCAGCAACAATGTGACAATCTCATATTTCCTGTCAAAACAACTCTTAGAGTGACCTGAACCGAGAAAGGGTTCTTGGAAGAAACAAAGGGAAAGTGGTAATGAAGTAAACACTTCGTGCAAAGACTGTAATTAACTGAGAGAAAGACTGAGAGTACTTAAACGTAAAAGCTTTCAGAAGAAATTCTATTGTTCTGCATAAATGGAATTGAATGTTTATAGTAATTAATACATTCTTAAACATTTTCTCTGTTAAAAATGCAACTAGATGCGTAATAAAAAAAACACACAATAGAATCAAAATGATATATGAAAATATGCATGTTTTTGTGGAAAAATGATATATACATAGATAAAAACTATTTAAAACAATTTCCAAAGTAAAGGTAGTCCGACAACGCATTGGATTAATTTTGATTTCTTTTTCAATTACAGTCATGTATACTGCAACAACAAAATATTTTCAACTTTTTATTTTTTCCGACATGTAAGACCTTTTTTATTCTGTTATATTTTAGCCTTTATTATTGACATTTGAAGCAATAGACGGAAGTGACAGGAGAGGAGAAAAGGGAAAGGAATCACAAGCTGGGACTTCAAGGGTAAATTATGAAAAGATGAAAGTAAATGATGACAGAATTGACATTTTTGGGTGAAGTAACCCTTTAAGGGGCCAAGCACAAATAAGGCACGATAAGTCATGCCAGCAAGGCTGGAAGCATCAGGCCAACTGCAACAATGAGCAATTAAAGACATTTTAAGATGATTTTAGGCAAAATGCCTGAAAAATCATAGATACGGTCACTAGTAATATGATTTAATGGTTTATCTTTTTCGACCAATAGGTGGCGCTGTGACCAAATTGATGTGGTGAGGTGACAATGACGCATGCAAAGTTATATATGGCAATATGCCCAAGCATTGCAGAGATACAGCCTCAGAGTCGTTGGCATGGTCTGAAGATGATACGATTCGATTTCGGTGAAAATCGGACCAGCGGTCCAGAAGGAGTTTGAAAAAGTAGGTTTTTAAAGAAAATCAAAATGGCGGACAGGAAGTTCGGCCGACTGACAAAATTGGTGTCTGTGTTGTGGGCATGACCCAAGGAATCTCTTAAGATCGGTTTAACAATAGGCTAATTTAATCAGTAGTTATTAGCATTTTTTTGGAAATTTCATTATTACTTTTGACTATAAGGTGGCGCTGCCCCAAAACTTTTTGAGTACGCCCAAAATTGGGTATCGTATGACTCAGACCATGCTACACCGAATCTAAGGCTACGTTTACACGTAAAAAATAAACAGACATTTCACCCTCTCCGTTTTCAAAAATAACATCGTGCACACCTGTCAGTTTTCAGAAAAGTGTTTGTTTACACGCACTCGTGTATATGCCGTCAAGAGCATGCCAAACCTGTAGGTGGCAGTGTAACGAGAGGCTCAAGCCCACGTTAGCCAATCGAACGAATCAATTCATTAGTAGAAAACACCGTTTTCTCAGTTTACATGCAAACGTGCAAATTAAGTTTTCCAAAATCTCCACTCTGGCCGGAGTTTTTAGAAAGAATCGTTTTCAGAGGCGAATTCTCCGTTGGCGAGTATAAGAAGGGCACAAACGAAGGGAAATGTCTCCGTTTTTCAAAATAACCGTGTACGTGTAAACGGGGCCTCAAAAAGCCTTTTTTGTTTTTTTTTGGGCCACACCATTTAAAAGTTATAAACAAAAAGAGACATTTTTCATATGTGCTGACCACTAGGTGGCACTGTCCCGAAACTGTGCATGTCGCCTCAGGTCATGGTTTTCAGAACACACACCAAGTTTGGTCAGAATACGCTAAAGCGGTGTGGAGATATAGCCTCACGTTCACTTTTGCGGGATCTTCATCAAATTAATTTGCGCGTTTGACGAATCAATATTAGCATAAACGTAAGTGCAACTTTGAACAGTTGGTGGCGCTAGAGGGATTGAGTTAGAGGCTCCAAATCTGCTATGCTGACCGTTCAGACTGTCCTCTGTCTGTGTGCCAAATCTCACAACTTTCCTGTAAGCTTATGGGCTGCCATAGATTTCCAGAGGGGAAGAATAAGAAGAAACAGAAGAAGGAGAAGAAGAAGAACGCCGACGGATACAATAGGTGCCTTGGCTCCTAATTCATTTTAAATGTAATAATTAATCACATATACAAGTCTTATTTCAATTAATTTATTATCCATAACAAGTTCATTGACTAAATTCTGTTTTTATTACCTATACGTTTATTAAGTGCTGCACATATTCAGATCACATGACCTTCCACAACGGCCACATAACGGCCACACTCACACCTTGTCCCGTCCAAACTGGCACATGAAATCACAGATGTACTCTATTTATAAATGAAACTCAAGGAAAGCAAATCCTGTGGGAATAGTGCTTAAAGTGTTAGTTCACCCAAGAAATCCGTCATCATTTACTCTCACGCCGTTCCAAATCCGTAAGACTTTTTTTCATCTTGGTAACACAGATGAAGATATTTTTAATGAAATCTGAGAGATTTTTCTGTCCCTCTATTAAAAGTCAATTCACCCACAACTTTCATAAAGATATCCCACAATTATTTGAGAGTTAAAGGGGTCATATAATGGTACATGCACTTTTACAAGTTGAAATGTGTGTTGGCAGTGCCTGTACACAACCATCATATAATGATAAAAATCCATCCAGTGTTTTGGTTTTAATCTCCTTATATGTTTTCCCCTCTCAAATCGAGCCGTTCGACCGTGTGACGTCACACGCTCGGAAGCCCCTCCCACGAGTGTTGATTGACAGCAGCGTTTCAACACAGACCCGCCCTGAGCGAGCGTCATCATAGTCCGCTATTGTTGATACGCTGGAGCAGAATGGCGTCTAAGCGATTGTGGTGTTCTGTTCTTGGGTGTAATAACGAACACAGTCATTGTGATGTTCCTAAATCCGAACCGCTGAAGTTTTGTTTTCGATGGGAATATTCCCCACGAGCAACGTCAATGCTTTCATGTTTGCGCGAATCATTTCTCAGCAGACTGCTTTATAAACGAGGGTCAGTATGAGCTAGTTTTGCTAAGAAGCTGCTCCTGAAAAAAGAATCGGTACCAGCTATTCGTGTTCCTGCTGAATCTCCAGAAGAACTGAGTGTAAAGTTTTATTAACCTTTATATTAATCTTCGCAAATCGTGAAAAAAGTTGTTCATGACCAGTTCTGTAACATCAATCTGTCAATGAACTAACGTATACATCAGTAAACACACAGCGTTCGTATCTCACTACTCTACCCTGCCAAGAGTGCATACAAAGATAGATCAAAGTGACATTACGTTAACCAACCATTCAGAAACGTCCTGTTCGAGCCTTAACTGTCGAACTTCTTTGCGGCCGCCATCTTGTTTTCCGGGTCCGACTCCGGTTCAAACTGATACGGTTGCACAGATGTGTCCTCAGAGACTCCCGCTGCCATTCTTTCTCCAAAATATCCCCTCAACTGTTGTCAAGGCAACACTTCACGTGCGTTGTGCAAAACGCCCACAGAACAGAGGGGCGGAGTCAGCGAAGCTCATTATCATTTAAAGGCACAAGCACTGAAACGGCGCGCTGAAAACAGCTGTTTTTGACCAGGTAAAATTAGTGTTTTCTTACAATACTAATGACAATTTTTAATCAAAGTATATTACAAATGTTTTATTTAGACCCTAAAGAATCATATTAACTTGTATAAAAATGGCATTATATGACCCCTTTAAATCCAAGTCTTCATCAGAGATGGTTAGACACATGTGAGAGTCCGGCTCTCGTGTTGAGGCAGACACACATGTCCACAGCTGTACCTGCAGGGAGAAGGTGAGCTCCAGGTCTGTCTCCATCAGCCCGCTGGGGGGGAGCATGTACTCATTCGACCTCAGGATGCGTTTCGAGCCCTGAGAGCATGGACAGACATGTATTCTCATTAAACATCACTTCCGAAACTCCTGCGAATCAAAGCAAATAAACCCACGCAATGAATGTGACGTCACTAAACACTGTCTGATGCTTGCAAATTGAAATGTTGTCCGTGTGGTTCGACAGCGAAAGCATCAAACAAGACAGAAAATGAGTCAGTCACACTGAATGTGTTGAATCATTTCAGTTACTGTGCGTTTGGCTTCTCTGCACATCTGACAGGCGAGTCACGATACGGGCTGTCATGCTAACACGAGGTGATATAAATGTAAAAATCTCGGGACTCTAAATGCTCTATAAAGGAAAGAGGCTCTAAATTGGAAACAGAAAAAGTGAGTTTTTGACCGCAGTTTATAATGGGAGACACAGTCAATCTGGATACTGTTTTGGTCTTTTTAGTTTTGTTCGTTGTTGTTGTAGTGAACTTTCTGTATACCAGTGAACAATAAAAGCAAACGCCCCTTGAAGCCGTGATTTACAGTGAGTGTAGAGCAGCTGAGGGCCGTTGTTAGCTACGACGCGGAGCGCCTAAAACCCCTTAAGCTGTTCTAAATCCACTGTAAATCACGGCTCCAAGGGGCTTATTGCTTTTATAAAATGGTTACTCCATAAAATTATTCATTGTAATATTTATTTTATTCACAAAATAAACACCAGCAACAAAAAATATAACGTTATATAACACATTTATTCAATGTAGTTCCAGAGAGGTTGCTAAGCAACACATGCAGCAACAAAGCATCACACACGTCAGTTGCGCAGTAACACTAATGTAATGCGCTCACAGGTGTGTGTGTGTGTGTGTGTGTGTGTGTAACACTAATGTAATGCGGTCACATGTGTGTGTGTGTGTGTGTGTGTGTGTGTGTAACACTAATGTAATGCGGTCACAGGTCTGTGTGTGTGTGTGTGTGTAACACTAATGTAATGCGCTCACAGGTGTGTGTGTGTGTGTGTGTGTGTGTAACACTAATGTAATGCGGTCACAGGTCTGTGTGTGTGTGTGTGTAACACTAATGTAATGCGGTCACAGGTGTGTGTGTGTAACACTAAAGTAATGCGGTCACAGGTCTGTCTGTGTGTGTGTGTGTGTGTGTGTGTGTGTAACACTAATGTAATGCGGTCACATGTGTGTGTGTGTGTGTGTGTGTAACACTAATGTAATGCGGTCACAGGTCTGTGTGTGAGTGTGTGTAACACTAATGTAATGCGGTCACAGGTATGTGTGTGTAACACTAATGTAATGCGCTCACAGGTGTGTGTGTGTGTGTGTGTGTGTGTGTGTGTAAAACTAATGTAATGCGATGCGGTCACAGGTGTGTCTGTGTGTGTGTGTGCGTGTAACACTAATGTAATACGATGCGGTCACAGGTGTGTGTGTGTGTGTGTGTGTGTGTGTGTGTGTGTAACACTAATGTAATGCGATGCGGTCACAGGTGTGTCTGTGTGTGTGTGTGTAACACTAATGTAATACGATGCGGTCACAGGTGTGTGTGTGTGTGTGCGTGTGTGTGTAAAACTAATGTAATGCGATGCGGTCACAGGTGTGTGTGTGTGTGTGTGTGTGTGTGTGTAACACTAATGTAATGGGATGCGGTCACAGGTGTGTCTGTGTGTGTAACACTAATGTAATGCAATGCGGTCACAGGTGTGTGTGTGTGTGTGTGTGTGTGTAACACTAATGGAATGCGGTCTCAGGTGTGTGTGTGTGTGTGTGTGTGTGACACTAATGTAATGCGGTCTCAGGTGTGTGTGTGTGTGACACTAATGTAATGCGGTCACAGGTGTGTGTGTGTGTGTGTGTGTGTGTGTGTGTGTGTGACACTAATGTAATGCGGTCACAGGTGTGTGTGTGTAACACTAATGTAATGCGATGCGGTCACAGGTGTGTGTGTGTGTGTGTGTGTGTGTGTGTAACACTAATGTAATGCGGTCACAGGTGTGTGTGTGTAACACTAATGTAATGCGGTCACAGGTGTGTGTGTGTGTGTGTGTGTGTGTGTGTGTAACACTAATGTAATGCGGACGCGGCTCAACCAATCAGAATCAAGGACCGGAACTCTCTGTTTTATAATGAATAATTGACCACGATAGGCAAATGTAACGTTCGGCAAACTACTTCTCGATGTTGTTTGTCGCTGGTTCAGACGACATCTTGTATAAATACAAACCGATTTGAAATTGAAAGTGATTTTTCAGTAGTCTCTTATTTTTGGCAGGCACTAAATTTAGTAGAGGCTATTCCCAAATCTGTGCCCATGCGCAGAAATAAAGGCCGCGATAAACATACGGCGAAGTTATTTATCGTTCTTCGCCTAGGGGTAAAAAGAAGTTTGAAATATGTGACTAGCGCTATACTGTGAACATCCCGATGAAGATGAATATGTGCTGCGCGCTTTCCTCTAAATAACAACATAACAACTTTTCCAGAAAGTCGAGCCGTTTTGAACCCCTGAAACGAACTCCAAACAAACTTGGTTTTGGCCTGATTTCGTGCGAAATGACGTCACATCAATTCATCCTTCAGTTGATCCTTCATACATCCATCCATCAAGGTTTCTCTGTAAAAGCACATTCAACCCGTCGAAGGGAAAGAGACAGAGAAAGTGTCTCACTGCACTAACAAGCTCTGAATGAAAAGTAAAAGCGCGCTGAGTGTGCTTGTGTCGGGAGAGTCGTGAACGCTGAAGCCTTCAAAGTGTGGATTCAAGCGGACACTTTAGGGAGCAGAAGAGGAGAGATAATGAGATGTCTGTCAGAAACCTATCTTCAGGCCTTTTGATGAGCAGCCATTATTTTAATCACCGAGGCAAAGCTTAGGGAGAATAACAAAAGCTTTATTTCAGTGTCTGAAGAACCCGTTCAAAATCTTCAATGATCCATCAGGAGGAGATGTGGGGGCGAAACAAGTGCACTTCATGTTCCCTAAGAGGATGTGCGCTAATCCTCACTGAATGAGGGACACAATCCTTTCCTATTGGGAATTAAATGTAAAGATTCACCCACAGACTGCTCTAAATATCACTGACACTCGTTCCTGGTCTCGTTTGCATTGTGACATTATTTTCATGAAAATTTGTACCTGAACATTAATGTATTGCATATGGTTTTTAACCTCTTGATTTTGTCATCATTCTTGTATTCGCATCACTGTAATACTGTAATAATTCCTGTAGTAGCCTACCTTGATATATAAATAATAGGGCTGTCAAAGTTAATGTGTTAATACATGCGATTGTTATGTCTTTGAACATCCATGGCCTGAGGAAAGACCTCTACACAATAAAAGCATAATCATTTTTAAAACATTTATCATGTTTAGAAACATTTGAATTGACTGATAACCAAAATAAATACTTCACATACTTTAAATAATTCTAACAAATTAAATTGTAATGATTCCGTTTCATTGCAGTAATGTAAGGGAAATATTAGGGAAGGATTTGTGTAAAAATCCTGTAAATGTCCCAATTAAAAAATCTTTATCATTCCAAAAAGAGTTTTAATTAAAAAAAATTCTTACAGTGCACTGATTATTCTCAAACATTTTTTTTTTTTTATTATTCACTTTTAGGTTTTCATTTTAAGTATTGCATGTAAGATTCACACCATGGCAGCCCTACCAGGACATTTTGGTCCAATTTTCATGTAAATGTTAATTAAAATGGTTATCGCACCAAAAATGATTGGCCTTAAAGTTGAAAAATCTCCCCTTAACCCATCGATAAAAATGTCATCAACAACAACAACAACAACAACAACAACAACAACAACGTCACTGTAATATTACCAAAGTGAATTTTGATTTGTCCTTTCTGTCTTGCGTATATTTAACCGTTTCAGTCTTTATACGGCAAAGATAGTGTTGCATTACATTTTAATTCTCATGCAAAAGAAAACAGTGTCATGACAACACTAATAATGCTATTTACCTCAAATCTAGTAATACATATAATATCTGTGAGACGCTTATATATATATATATATATATATATATATATATATATATATATATATATATATATATATACGTATATATAGTAGTGGTCAAAAGCGATGTCCGAAGGTTATATCTTATTTTAATGACCCTACAAGTTTGGTTAAACCATCAAAATATGAGGAAAATATTTCCTTTTTTGAAAAAAATATTTTAAATATGAGGGAAGACAAAAAAAAAACTTAAAGATATTTATCTGACAAAAATATTTGGCAAAAAATGCATTGAAAAACAAAAAGTTCGCAGGAAAAAGCATACATTGACTACATCATAATCAGTTATTAATATTTTGATGATTTTCTCTTGTTTTAGCATAATTTCTTTAAATGACAGCTTGGCCAAAAATGATGTCGCACAATTTGTCATGTTTCATTGCATTATTATCACAAACAATTGACTCCAAACACAACTACAAAATCTGTTATTAATATTTGAATAAAGGGTGAAATTGTCAGTTTTCCTAGGCCACTACTGTATATTTCTCTTTGGAAACTGTCAAAGCTTTACAAAAGTACCAAACACAAGCAGTGTGACCAAAGCGACCTATGTGGAATGCCGAGGGCCTCCAAGTGCTCTGAAATTACCCTCTCAATATATCCCACAATGCACTTCTCCCCCCCAACTGCCATCTTATTGCGTTAGATCCCATCTTCCCACTGAGCAAGCTGTCGCCTTGGCAACAGCTCAGTTACCACGGTGTCTTGTGTAAAGCTCAGAGCCCGTGTGATACCAAACGCAGAGTCACAACACACACACACACACACAGAGAGATGCGGCCCGTTTACCTGTATCTTGACAGCGATGACGACAGAACTGAGCTCGCGGTCCAACTCTTTCAGAACGATCAACTTCTTCAGGGTCAGACTGCACAACCTGAGAGAGACAGAGAGACAGAGAGAGAGAGAGACAGGAATATTAGGTGCCATTAGTCTTCATGTGTGAATCACTCGTGTAGGACACCAGTCCCGAACTCAGTCTGACTAACTCCAGAGGTTGCTCACATGCTCTTTTAAATGTGGATGCTCCTAAACTGACAAGTGCCTCACAGGAAACAAACAGGGGGAATATAGTCAAAGTTTTGATTGATTATGTGGTAAAGAAACGGGGCAAAATAATAATCGTTTGATAATACAAACATAATAAAGAAATAGTCTATGGAATCTAATTGGGTTGTCAAATGTACCGGTACCAGTCGGTACTAAAAAAAGTACTACAGAGTAGTGATGTAGTACTCGAGTCCGGTCTCGAGACCGATTTCTGCTTTCTCGGACTCGTCTCGTCTCGACTCGGACTCGACCCTTCAAAGACTCGGTCTTGACTCGGACTCGACCCTTCAAAGACTCGGTCTCGGCTCGGACTCGACTGTATTTGAAAACCAACGGACTCGGTCTCGACTCGGACTCGACCCTTCAAAGACTCGCTCTTGACTCGGACTCGACCCTTCAAAGACTCGTTCTTGACTCGGACTCGACCCTTCAAAGACTCGGTCTCGACTCGGACTCGACTGTATTTGAAAACCAACGGACTCGGTCTTGACTCGGACTCGACCCTTCAAAGACTCGGTCTCGACTCGGACTCGACCCTTCAAAGACTCGGTCTCGACTCGGACTCGACTGTATTTGAAAACCAACGGACTCGGTCTCGACTCGGTCTCGACCCTTCAAAGACTCGGTCTCAACTCGGACTCGACCCTTCAAAGACTCGGTCTTGACTCGGACTCGACCCTTCAAAGACTCGGTCTCGACTCGGACTCGACTGTATTTGAAAACCAACGGACTCGGTCTCAACTCGGACTCGACCCTTCAAAGACTCGTTCTTGACTCGGACTCGACCCTTCAAAGACTCGGTCTCAACTCGGACTCGACCCTTCAAAGACTCGGTCTCGACTTGGACTCGACTGTATTTGAAAACCAACGGACTCGGTCTTGACTCGGACTCAACCCTTCAAAGACTCGTTCTTGACTCGGACTCGACCCTTCAAAGACTCGGTCTCGACTCGGACTCGACTGTATTTGAAAACCAACGGACTCGGTCTCGACTCGGACTCGACCCTTCAAAGACTCGTTCTTGACTCGGACTCGACCCTTCAAAGACTCGGTCTCAAGTCGGACTCGACCCTTCAAAGACTCGGTCTCGACTTGGACTTGACTGTATTTGAAAACCAACGGACTCGGTCTCGACTCGGACTCAACCCTTCAAAGACTCGTTCTTGACTCGGACTCGACCCTTCAAAGACTCTGTCTTGACTCGGACTCGACTGTATTTGAAAACCAACGGACTCGTTCTCGACTCGGACTCGACCCTTCAAAGACCCGGTCTCGACTCGGACTCGACTGTATTTGAAAACCAACGGACTCGGTCTCGACTCGGACTCGACCCTTCAAAGACTCGGTCTTGACTCGGACTCGACCCTTCAAAGACTCTGTCTCGACTCGGACTCGAATGTATTTGAAAACCAACGGACTCGGTCTCGACTCGGACTCAACCCTTCAAAGACTCGTTCTTGACTCGGACTCGACCCTTCAAAGACTCTGTCTTGACTCGGACTCGACTGTATTTGAAAACCAACGGACTCGGTCTCGACTCGGACTCGACCCTTTAAAGACTCGGTCTTGACTCGGACTCGACCCTTCAAAGACTCGGTCTTGACTCAAGACTCGACTGTATTTGAAAACCAACGGACTCGGTCTCGACTCGGACTCGACCCTTCAAAGACTCGGTCTTGACTCGGACTCGACCCTTCAAAGACTCGGTCTTGACTCGGACTCGACCCTTCAAAGACTCGGTCTTGACTCGGACTCGACCCTTCAAAGACTCGGTCTCGACTCAGACTCGACCCTTCAAAGACTCGGTCTCGACTCGGACTCGACTGTATTTGAAAACCAACGGACTCGGTCTCGACTCGGACTCGACCCTTCAAAAACTCGCTCTTGACTCGGACTCGACCCTTCAAAGACTCGTTCTTGACTCGGACTCGACCCTTTAAAGACTCGGTCTTGACTCAGACTCGACTGTATTTGAAAACCAACGGACTCGGTCTCGACTCGGACTCGACCCTTCAAAGACTCGGTCTTGACTCGGACTCGACTGTATTTGAAAACCAACGGACTCGGTCTCGACTCGGACTCGACCCTTCAAAGACTCGGTCTTGACTCGGACTCGACTGTACTTGAAAACCAACGGACTCGGTCTCGACTCGGACTCGACCCTTCAAAGACTTGTTCTTGACTCGGACTCGACCCTTCAAAGACTCGGTCTTGACTCAGACTCGACTGTATTTGAAAACCAACGGACTCGGTCTTGACTCGGACTCGACCCTTCAAAGACTCGGTCTTGACTCGGACTCGACTGTATTTGAAAACCAACGGACTCGGTCTTGACTCGGACTCGACCCTTCAAAGACTCGGTCTTGACTCGGACTCGACTGTACTTGAAAACCAACGGACTCGGTCTCGACTCGGACTCGACCCTTCAAAGACTCTGTCTCGACTCGGACTCGACTGTATTTGAAAACCAACGGACTCGGTCTCGACTCGGACTCGACCCTTTAAAGACTCGGTCTTGACTCGGACTCGGCATAGGCGGTCTCGTCCCTATCACTACTACCGAGTACCGGATATATTCGGCACCACGCTGCTCTCAAGCACTCTCATTCCTGTTTGTTTGAGCGCTCTCTGAGCATCAAAGGTTTCTATTTACATCGTGTTTTTACAAGCATTGTAGCCAATCACAATCATATCTGTTGAGCGCATGAACCCAACGGCCAATCAGAGGCGCTAGTCAGTCAGAATCCGCTTAACACCGGTAAAAACTCACAAGCTCGCGAACCTTTTCATTATAACCAACAGTGTAAACATGACGTATATAAGAGATTCATTGCACAATTAAAACAGCTTTTTCTATCATAATCCACTTCCCCCAGGAACTAGGGACCCTGTGGTGGGACTCGGTGTGTTTCGACGGCAGGGACCAGGGTCTGAATGAAGGTCCTGGTAAAATGTCCCCCTCAGAAAGTCCCTGCTCACGAGGCAATACTGTTTCAAAGTTCAGCAACTTTCGGGGGTGGGACTTGGGGGCTGAACTTGCTGATTGGTTGAGTCCACGCAGCATTTTATTTCAACCACCATTTGGTGCAGTGAGAGTTGTTTGCTATTCGAATCAAAACAAGGGAGTTTAAAAAATATGACTGATGGACGGACGACGAGCTTCAGCCCAGCAAGCAATTTTGTGTTATTAAAGACGTCTAATAGCCGTCCATACACACATCTAGCACATCTAACACACAGCACAGACGTCTAGGCTAAAACAAGGCGAAATTTCTTCTACATAAATGACCCATTTTAAATACACATTCATCTTTCCAGAGGTGAAGTATCCCTTTAAGTTGATTATTTAAAAAATAAAAAGGTTATTCCAACTACTTTAAGCGTAACTGAGTGGTGTGCCTGGAAGCAATTCATCTCAACAGTTTCAGTTCAGATTAGCACATGCTAAATGTAACTTATTTACCATGCAAATTTAATAAACAGGTAAGCTATTATTTGCCATTAGCATTAGCATCAATCTTATGGTCAATAGTGTTAACTTTCATATCGCCACCAACTATGACTTCAGCACAAAGGTAACCACAAAAACTGCAGCATAACAGAAACTCAAGGTTAAGATTTTTTCCCTTTACTTAAACAACACTTCATTTAAAACATTTATTCTCTTTATTAATTCCTATGCAAAGCATGCTGGGAACTAGAAATCCACTGTCTGATTTTCAAAGTTATCAAGATGATTTCATTACTACAACTTATTGCAGAAATTTAACTCTGAGAGAAGGAGCCATTAACTTAATTTCAGTTTTAATAACACACAATATTAAGTTGATGTAATGATCAAATGTATATAATGAATAGATGGCCTGAGTGTCTTTTTAGATCGTAGAGTCATAGAAATGACAAACTTCACCTTCAACTGAGTTTTTATCTGCCAAACACCAGTCGGTCTGTCTGTGTGGAGGACTCAGGAGTTAAACAAACATGAACTTCTCATTCTTCTGTAACTCTCTCCCGCCATAACGAGCATTTAACTGGATCAATAAAGCCTCAGGCCAGACAGGAAGTTGAGCCCTCCACATCCTGTGACATCATCACGTCCTCAGGTCAGAAACACAGGAGGCTGCCACTGAAACTCACATTATTTTCTGAATCATTTGATTTATTCCTCAGGTTTGTTGAAATATCAAAATGTGTTCTTGTGTCGCCCTTAACATTTCTGGAAATGAAAACGCAAGATTTGAAAGGAGCCTTTGAACTTCGAATATGACTTTCATGCTTGATATTTCTTCACCTTCATGTTCCAGTAACACCACACACACACACACACACACACACACACACACACACACACACACACACACACACACACACACACACACACACACACACACACACACACACACACACACACACACACACACACACACACACACACACACACACACACACACACACACACACACACACACCTCTATTTCTTCTCTGTCCTGTATGACTCACCGTCTCTGAGGACTGAAATATCTCACTCTTCATTTTCTCTCTCTGTATTTTCACTCCTTCCCTCTCTGTAAACCCAGCTTTGGTCTCTAACTCTAAGACACACAGCCACACACTAATCTCACTTGCCAAGTCTTACGTTACAGACTCACACTCACACAAGCCACACTTTACGTGTTATAGTGTGTGGTGATGTCACTAAAGTTGTCATTCTCCCTATCATTTCATTTTTTGCCCATTGTCCACTTATATCTACAACAAACAGTCATACGAGTATTTTTCCATAACCATGTCCACCCTCGCCAAGACCTTACGAAGTAAACAGGCTGT